TGTGACACCCACATAAAGTATCACCTGGAAAAATCTGCTTTAAGAGTCTCAGTTCCCCCACTGTTGACCAATATTTTAGTAGGAATGCACTCTGAGGCACTAAAATATTTCCAGTTCTCCCTTTTCCTTCTTTCTCTGTCTCGGTACTGCCTGGAGCAGCCAGCTGTGAGAGGGGGAATTAGAAAAATGAGACAATCTGTGTAATGGCATAAACTGGATTAGTCTCCCTCTGTCAATCATTCTCTGGGCTCTTTTGAAGCAAATGAAAACCCAAGTTACAGCCTTCCTTCATGAGCTACAAGGGACACAGCAATGACCTGGTGGAGGTGATTAAATGGAACATTTTAGGTACACACTGCTAGCCAAAATCACCATTGACTTAGAAAAACACTAAGCTGTGTAGGGGAATTTTAGAGCCATCTGACTGCCATCAAAGCAGGTGAGTTTTACAACTGTTCTACAGAAAACAGCCTCCATCCTTTCTAGAAAACCCTTTCTGATTTCAGTGTGGGAATTGTGTCTTGGTTCCACAGATCAGACACAGCTGCTTCTCCTCTTGAAGTACAGTACAAATATGTTAACATTAAAAATAATGAATAAGGTAAAAATCTAGAACTGGCAGCATCCTTTGAATCAGTTTTCTTTGTTCATGACAATGTTTTCTCTGATATTTTCTGAAAAGGTCTAGGGTTCACTATTAATGTTTTATTTCCATTTTTTGGTCACTTTCTTTTCAAAAATTTTACACAGTTGTGGGTTAAGGTTTTTTTTAGATGGAGACATGGAGAGCATATTAATTACATTCTCTGTTTGAAGCCCGTGTTCAGACCTTCACAAAGCCAACATTCCAGCTGTTTCTATAAAAAGAAGCATAACTGTGTATATCCTTCAGTTAGCCTCTTTCCCACCTATTTAATAGACGGCCTGAATAAGCCTAATTTGTTTTGTGTCTTTTATTGCCTGTAATAGATACAATTAACAATTATGGGGAATTTACAGTGACACAAGGGCATGACTGTTCACTGCATGAACAGCAGTGGTGGTTGGGTCATATAAATTCTTTTTGTGCCTCTGAAACTTTTTTTTTTTTTCTATTTTAAATCAGAGTGGAAACATGATGAGCTTGGGGAGCAGTGTTATGAGAGTATGGTGGGCAGGGTCACACTGCATCCCTGACTGGCTGGGGAGGTGTTGCAGTAACAGGAAGTTTTTATGCAAAGCACCAACATGGGTTTGTGCATGTCTGTGCAATATGTGGGGCATTATGAAAGAAGACCCAAAGGTATTTGTTTGAATATTTAACTATCAGATGATAGAAGCAAAATATTAAATAGCTCATGTTTTATATATATATATATTAAATTTCTCTGCTCAGCAGCAGAGGATGAAAATACAAACAAGAGTCTTTCTGGCCAACAAGCTTAGAAAGATTTTGAAGACAAACTACGTGAATGTGGTGAAATAAATTTTCACATGTGCCAGCCCAGGATCTCAGTGAACCTGGGACCTGTTCTATCTTCCTGCTGTTGGAAAAAAACAGAGTGAACTCAGAACTAGATCCACCCCACTGGTGCTGTTCTGGAGTGCTCTCACAGTTCCTTGCCTGGACAGAACCTGTGCTACAACACTCACAGCAAGAAGGGAAATCAAGAAAAGCCACCTGTGAAGGTTTCATGCTACTACTGAATCTCATGATGGGAATCTCCAGCTTCTGTAGTACTGAGTACAAGGTCCCTTTCCCCTATTCTCCACATCATATTGCAGAACAGTCAAAAAGGTGGATCTCTGCAATACAGGAGTGTGGCAGCTCACCTCCAGTGCTGAGTTACCTTTCAAATGAAAACAATAAACAAGTTTCATGGCACACTAAACTGCATCAAAACATAACCTTTGCTGTTTTCTGGCATTTCTGCTTTCTTACACTGATTCAAGCTGGAGGATTCGTAGCAAATTTTGCATTTAGCTCCAGCCCTCATACAAACTGCAAGAGGACAGAAAAGCTCAGCAGAAATGTATCTGAGAAGTGCAGTTTCCAAAAGGACGGTGAAAAACTGCTTTGTTTCCCTGTGGCTCTTTGCCTGGTGTGCATGCAGTTATTTAATCAGGGCATTACGAGCCTCTGCCAACGGCAAGACAGATGATTCTAAATGAAGCTGTGCACTCAGTAACAAGGACTGACCAAAGTGCTCCAGTGCTCTGCTTCAGAGCAGGCTCCCCAAGACTATGCTGTAAAAAATCATTTACTGGGAAGGCTGTAACCACGTTATTATCATACAAGCCTGACAATTCCTAAGCTTGTCTTCTATATGCATGCACTAGAAAACATATGAGCTGTCCTGTAAATAGTAAACCACCATTTTTAGTGTTCGCTAGTCCTTGGAAATTACCTCTTGTATGTGAAGAGAAAAGCTTCAGGGACTTGTTGAAGAGACACCTTTAAGCAATTTGCTCCATATTTTTCTTGCACAGATCCTGACTGTCAGGTCACAGGGCATCAGACCCTCAGCTGCTCTGAACCAGCTTAACTCCACCGGTGACCTGGCTGGAAGAGGCCATGGTAGGATAGAAATGTGTATGATGTACATTCCACGGCTGTGAATTAACTCATCTTCGTTTATAACCAACACCCAGCAATGCTTTCAGCACCACGGACAGAGAAGCCAGCACAGAGCTCCCTTGCCATCTGACAAATGGAAGAGAAACCACCGGACCCCCATGGCGTGCGTTCTCCCTGCAATGGACACAATCAGGATGTACATTCCCTGCTGATAAGATGCATCCCATCACCAGGCACTGACAGGGAGCAGCACTCTGCTGTGCAGTGCTGTACAGATACACAAGTTCTGCCTCCAAAGACATCCTGATTTAATACAAATCCTCGGAGTAAAAAGGGCAAATTCATATGCAGTAATAAACTTCTGCTTTTGTTAATAATCTTAACGAGCATTTAATATTTCAAACAATATGCAAACACCAAGGGCTAATTGTTAACATCAGCAACAAAGGGGATGACAGTTTTTCAGCTCCTTCACAGACAGTCTGGCGACTACAGTCATCCTGCCATGCAATTTAGGATGACTGTAAGGAAGCATTACAGTAAATAGAAAGATCTATTTCTTTTAAATCAATGCAAAAGTGTGACCAGCAGTCAGTGTTAGTATTTAGATAGGAAAGATAGGTAGGAATCATCTAAACCATTTACTATAAATAGCATTTTCCACAGTATTTTAAAAAAGTTGAAGCCTAAGAGCAAACAAAAGAAATCAATTATTCAAATATATAATATAATAATTTTCTGCTTTTCAAAGAACAGATCATGGTCTCTAGATTAATTCCTATTCCTATCTAAATTGTTATGCATAGAGAAATATTCTCATTGAACAGAAACTAGTGTGTAGAAGGGCAGCTCAGAGCAGAGCCAGGGTGCACACCTGGACATGGGGTCCTAGCCCTGCCAACAGCCCACTCTGGTGCTGGGTACCAAGCTGTGATTTGGGTGGCAGCTCAATGCTGAGCACATATTTTTGAGCAGATCAGCTCTCCCTCTCAGCCTGCACATTGCTCTCTTCCAAACAAACCACCTTTTGTTCAAAACTTGCAAGGCATAACCTTTCCTGGCACCTCAGGATACCAGGTTTTATTATCATTATTATTACAAGTGCCGCACTGCACTCAGCTCCCGAGCGCTGGAACAAAACCAGACACAGTTATGAGAACAAGGAAAGCACGTCTGTATCGTGCCAGGGAACCTGCAAAACTGTTGCATGTGTCTGACTCAACCAACTCAGTCAACAGCGATTTCAGTCTTCGAGTCCATTTTAGAAAGTGTGGAGTTTCTCAGTCCTGAATCTGTGCCAGGCACTGCAACAAAACCAACACTGCAACTGAAGCAGCAGTTGGAGAATTACACCCTGTCATCAGCATATGGTAGACAGTAACATAGCCATGAAAAACTGAAGCTAGACGTGAAGTATCATTCCAGAACACAGAGCTCTCTGAAAAGTAAACACAGCAGATGCACTGGCTAAAATCTGCTACCAAGGTGCTGCAAAGCCATGCCATGTTTAAAATCATCCAGGTGAGACTTCACAATTCACATCAAAAGATGGGTGGGGAACGAAGGATATCAGCAACCCCAGTACCAGCCAAGTTGAAGGTGTCACAACACATAGCACACAAAGCTTATATTCCTGTGGCCAGAACAAACATTTGATGAAGAAATATTTTTCTTGATACTGTTTAGTACAGTTTTTGTAACTAGCTTTTCAAGATCTCTTGCCTCAGTGGTTACCTGGAAAATTACAAGGGGTTTGCAAGCTTATTAGGTTGTAAAGAAGACAGTTCTGCCAGTAGAAGAATAATAGCTGGTATCTTACAGACAACAAGTTCCCATGGATAATGTGAATTGACAGTGATGTATCTTTTAATTACTCATTCCATCTGCACTTTGGACAGGTTATGTCAATTGCTGCTTCCTGGAAAATTATGATTTCAAGAAAGCTCTCCCAGCACGGAACATTTGTTGAGCTCATCAATACAGCGCAACCACTGAAGGTGTGAATTACGCGCTGTATTGCTGCACCCTCTGCCTGAGACAACAGAATAAAGTGATCGTCATCTGTGCTTTCCAAACGTGAAACACGTTAAAGACTACCAACATTTATGAAAACCTCTATATTAAATCCCACCTGCTAAACACCGAGGGAGAGCAAAGGTCCCAGTGATCCTCGCTCGGCCACCCGCTCACGGCCCCGTGCCCGCGCCGCGGGGAAAGGCAAGGCTGGAGCCGCGCCGGCCAGGCTGCCCCGCGCCCGGCACAGCCGAGCTGTGACCCCGGCACAGCCGCCTCGCCCAGCTCAGAGGGCAAAACGGTCACACGGACCCTGCTCCCCGAGCGGCCCGGGCTGGCCTCGCCCCGCCGGCAGGACCCGGGACCGCCCGGCCCCGCCGCAGCCGGGGTTCCCCGGCCGGCCGGACCCGCACCCGCGGCCCGCACTCACTTCTGCCCAGCGCCTCCGCCTTCCACTCCGTCTCCTCCACTGCCCCGTAGCGCCGCATGGGTCTCTCGGCCTCGGCGCTGGCCGAGATGGACCGGCGGAGCTCCATGGCCGGGCTCCGCTCAGCCCGGGCAGCGGCGCGGGCGCTGCGCGGGGCTCGGCGCTCGGTGCGCGGCGCGGGGCCCGCGGGCGGGGGGCGGGCAGGGGCTCCGGCACATGCTCAGTGCGGGGCTGGGGCGGGGGAGCCGCCACACAAAGCGATGTCGCACCTCGCACATGCTGCACACACGCCCCGCCCGCCCGGCCCTGCCTCCGCTCGGGTGGGCACTGCCCGCCCCGGGGTGCTGCGCGGAGCTCCGCGCCCGCGGCTCGCTGCTGTGGCTCTGCCCAGCCCTGCCCAGCCCAGCCCAGCGCTGCCCTGCCCAGCTCTGCCCGTCCCTGCCGTGCCCATCCCTGCCCAGCCCTGCCCTGCCTTGCCCAGCCCTGCCCTGCCCTGCCCTGCCCTGCTCCCCTTGTGAGGCCAAACCGCTCGAGCAGGAGAGAGTTCGCAAATCCGCTGGCTGCCAGGGCACGGTGGAACTGTCCATCTTATGACCGCAGCGCTGAGCACATTTCTGACCTGAGCAGCTGGGGAATAATGGTAACATCCACAGGCACTCATGGCTTTTGCAGTCTAACACATCTCAGGCTCCTGTGCATGCAGCCTTTGGCTTTCCTAAAAGTCCTGCACTGACTGGAATGACACTCATTCCAGCATCACGTTGCCAGAAGCCAGAGAACAGCACTCAAACAAGTGATGCAATTTTGTGTCTCTCATTTTTCATCAGCATGCAGCTTTGCTGCTTATGCAGCCTGCTGGAAATAAAGGAAATGACTTTGCAGGAAGCACAAGTGCGGTGATTATTGCTGTTATTACTAAGTTTTTTCTTTTGTTGTAGGGGAGGTTATATGGATTCAATCCCTGAACAGCATTTTACAGTTGGAGCCTACCTTTGCTAGTAAGATCACATTGCACTTTACTGTGAGTGGTACAACTTCAGACATAGACAGTGAAGCAGGGGTTAGGCAGGCTGTCCAGTGCCCTGCTGCAAATCAGGGGTTTAACACTTTTTCGCTCACTTATAAAGAATCATGGGGTACTCTGGAAAAGCTAACTTGTTTGTCAACTACTTTTGCCTGCAAAGTCTTGTCCTTAATCACTGACACTTCAAAAACACCACCTCTGGATTCAGTGGTTCACTTACTAATTGGACTGGCACACATTGATGCTATTGTGTGAGCAATTTCGTTTGAGGAGTGTTACACATGCCGGAGGCCAGAAAACCTCCACATTGCTTTTAAAATTGTAACTGAGAATTTCTCTACTTGTCTTCCTAAGAATTGGAATTAGCCAACAAGATGAGCTAGACAGTTTTAGGACATCTTCAGGGCACTCTGATTTTTCTCTGTCAGCTGTGCTCCCCGGAGATATGCCATGAATTGAGCACCAGACGTGCTGGAACAGCTCTGGCTGGCTGTGCAGTGCCTCATCCTCGCTGCTTTTGGCCTTTAGAGACAGAGCCCAAACAGAGCTGTGAGTCAAGCAGAAAAGCTGGTGGCAGGACTCTGCACAGCTGATTTTGGGTGAGAGTGCAGCTGCCTGCTGGGGTGGGCTGGACTGACTCACTAGTAGAAGTGAGGAATATGAGTGTGGGAGGAATAAGAGTCCATCTGGGATCTGGATGAGAGTGGGACTAAGGGAAACAGGCTGACTGGGGAGAAGGGCCAATTTTTAGTGGATCCGAGGACTACTTAATTTCAAACCATCCTTTCAAGTTTTTTGGGTAATTACAACCCAACTGCATTGTTTAGGAGATGGGGGAGTTAGCCTAGAAATAGTTGAATATTTAAAGCTATGCTTTTGTTAGTATGGCTGAATAACACCCACTAGGCAGAAACTCGTGTGCAAAGAATTTACTTACATAAAGCAAGGAATATATAAGGTGATTTATTGTAATTACAAAGTTTTCACCTGCCCATTTTGAAAAGTCCCAAAATCCAGTATAGGTCCAGTTCTACAGAGGTTTTGCACAAAGACTTTTGCAAGAGTAGGGCCCAAGTATGTATCAATTATTTGCTAATGTAATATCAGCATTTTTGTTAGTGTGACTCTGGAGCATTGCTGCCAGTGGAATTAAATTTCTCTCCTACTGATGATGTCTTTCAGTGGACCTAGCAACATAAATTATAAATGCATTTCTTTACTCATGAAGGCTGGTTTTCTTCTGCTGAAAGCACTGTTAATGCAGAAAATACAAACATTTGGGTCTTTTTTCGCTGCTCATAACATAATGCCTGGTAGAGAAACAGAGGTGCACTTTTCTCTTGCAGTCATTTTCCCTGGCAGCTTCAGTTCCCATTTCTCACTAAATCCTGCCACCAGGAGCTAGAGCTGGGCAGGAACATTTGGCAAATCCACTCTCCTATCTCTTGCTCTCTGGCCTCTGTCAGACATCACAGATTCCCCATGGCAGACATGACTTACTTAGATTTATCTCAGCTATTTTTTTTTTTTTTTGTATAGAAGGTCAGAATACACAGCACAAACTTGGGAAATGCAACAGCAAAGAGTTAGGGCATAAATGCCTGGTAGAAAGAATGGAAACAATCTGTGCACTTCAAAAGCTGCAGTTCTGGCCAAAACAGAGATTTCAAAAACATACTTCATTAACTTTTTTCTTTCCCATTTTACTTTTGTCTTAGTAAATTCTTTCTACGTTCACTGTCTTTTTAATGTAAAAATATCACAGAAAAAGCTGCTAGACCATTTGTCAGATACATTACTAATACCATGGGTAGTGAAGTTGCCTATGTAAGAGTCTTATTTTTGGCATTTGGAGCTAAGTCCAGTGGTATGACTGAGCTGACTGCTGTGCAGGTGAGTCACTATGCAGGTGTCTTTTGCATCAGTGATGGGTGTCCATAGCTACAAAGGAAAAACAGATGTTTGAGTTCAGTAAAAATAGATGTCGACATAAATTGGTCTGGGCTATTTTAGACTTGCAAACACAGCAGGCAACAAGTAATATTTCAGCCTGTATGTGGACATGCCCATTTTGAAGTAATAAGCATTCTGTGCAAATTTTACAAACATGGCAGCACACAGCTCCAGGAACAGCTCTCTCAGGGCCTGAGCCTTTTCTCATTTCACATAGTCTAAAATGTAATGGTGACTTTCTCTAAGCTTCTATTTTACCTATACAAGTTGGTATCTTACAATAAGAACTCAAAACTGGCTGCAAGCTGTGAGGCACCCAAAGAGACTGTGCCAGTGTCTTGCTGATTCCTTCCCTATGCAATGTCCATGCTCCATTACCCCTAACAGGCAAGTTCACTTCTGTGAGCCATTTCACTACTCACCTCACTGGAAATGGAAGCTATAAAGTCACTGCCCTGACTTCTGAAAGGGTTTCTTTACAATTTGAATTTCTCCCTATATTTGTACCTGTGTTCCATTAGCAAATTTTGCTAATTTCTACCCCAAAACAGTAAGCAAAACACTGTATGGGTAATTGCCATGAGGTATCAGGTGTAGTTACAAACACATAATAATTCATTACTGTCTGGTGACCATTCTGAACTAGATATGGAACTAATACAAAATCCTTCAGTGTCATTGGCATGTCATGGCTAATCAGCTGCAGTTAACAGTCTTGTTACATTTTGAATGTAAAAATATGTGATGCATGAAATGGAAGCAACTGAACACCCTTGGTAGGTGAGTAAAGGTGGGTTTTAATTCCCAGAGAGATGTAAGCAATGGCAAAACAAGAACACCACAGGGCACCAGTCTCTCAGGCAGATTTCTCCTGGCCAGCATAGAAAAGGAAAAAGCAAACAAATAGAGGTGGAAAAAGGAATCATAAAAATTTGTATTTTCTTTCCCAAATATTTGAGCAATGAGAGGAAAGCTGCTATCCTGGCAAATCAAAGAAATAATAATGAGAGTTTGTTCTTGTGCGTGCACACACTAAGTGCATGCTAGCTACAGTAAGGTACTAACTCCAGGGAAGAGTTGTAACTTAAATTTCTCTGCCACCAAGTTACACCCTGTAAAAGGACACACAATTCAGAATGAAGCTGACACTTCCTCCACAGCCAAAGGATCTCATGTGCTGCAGAACTTTGTGTGCATGGTTTGAGTCCATATGGGCCAAACCCTGTATTTATCACAGCCATCTGGGTGCTTGTGCATTTTGGTTCTGTTGTAACTGGATAAAGCACAATGACAGAAATGGGGAACAGTTCTCATTCCCAGCCAGTTCTCAATGTCCCAAAATCTCTGGTGACTGAAGTACCTGATGGGCTACATCCCCATGCTCCCTCCTGGTCTCTCTGATTCTGTCAGTCTTGAGGGGGTAAAATGGAAAGGGTGGCTTATCAATATCCCATTTTTAAGGTCTTCTGGCAGAGGGAAGCATTAGCATAGGTGTCCCTGTTCCTCACTTACACAAGCCCTAGGTGTGTGCACACTCACCTGATGCCATTTCCCCCCTGTTGTTTTACAGCCCCACTTCATGACTGGTTTTCCCTGAACACAGCAAACAAAAACACCCATTCTTCAGTTCCTGAAGCTCTCTCATGTACCCTCTGCTACAGTGTCTTTTCTGACCCTACTTCACGCCTTATTAGACTTTTCCAGGTCCAAGATTTCTTTCAGCACAAAAAGGTGTAATTGCAACTAGTGTTACACAGCAGGGAATGATACATTCTGCTGTATTCTTTGCACTAAACTGTTTTTCTGTCTGGATACAAGGTGCAAGATTTTTAGGCACAACCACCATAAATTAATAAACTGCAAAAAAAAAAAAAAAAAGGAAGGCAGTGTTTATTAAGGTGGATGATGTTGATTAGTATATGCAACACATGCAGACATGCAATCTGCATTCTTTGTTCTTGTTTAACATGGATTACAGGAACTTCAGACATGGTGGGCTTAGCAAGTGCATGTGAATTCTTAGTGCAACTTGGACATTAAGAGAGGACAGACAGTCCTTGGCTGCTTTAGAACAGCAATATTAGGCAGAGGTAGAAAAAATATTATCTGAGGCATATGTGAAAGTCACTGGGATTAAAACAGCATTACTGTCTCCATTTAGAGGTTGCACAGCAAAAAAAGGGTTTGCAAATGAGCTTCAAGAATGATGTAGCAAAGGGCTAACAGAGCTAAAGCTATTACAGTTTATCCAAGGAATAAACAAAATCTCTGCTTACCACTACGTGCACACAGAAGGCTTTGCCTGCTGTACCTAGTTGTTAAATCTTGTCAGAAAGGGAGTAACATTTTATTAGAACGTTAAGGCTAGATTGATGTGGGTAGGTAATAAAATTTCATATGAACAGATAAATAACTCCTTTGAGACACAGAATCCTCTGGAAGTGTTTGCATAAGTTCCTAGAAGATGGCATTGGAGTCAACATCACTGGTTTGATTCAGGAAGAACTCTTTGCTTTGCACTACCCAAGGATTCTGACTGAGTGATGCTTTTTCTCCCTCTTGGCCTTGAAGTCTATGAAACACAATTTTTCAATTTGAACTCTTTCCATAAAGCTTCCTCCTCATTCTAAATATACAAAAAGTTACAGCAGGGAATGGAGGTGGTGTCTCTCTTCCAGTTGTGGAATATATTACTCCCTTCAGCCTCAAATCTCCTGAACCATTTCCTTCCCAAGGATATCCCACACAAACTTGACTGAGTTAAGTCCTTCAGTAAGGACCCCATTTCTAAACTCTGTTCTCTAGAAAAGTTGTTTATATTTTTTCCTACCTAAATTCCTCCATTTCTCCTGCAAATATATTAATTATCTAAAGAAATACTTATATCAAAATTTTGCATCTTTTAAATAAAATTCCACTGGCTTCAGCATAAGACTTTAAAGATAGGAGTTCTGTTCTGAATTTATTCAGAAATGGCAGATGACTTAATGTATGCAACTAAAGTCTAAAGGGAGTGAATAATCCCTCCTTAGTTTTTACTCTGCTGCTGTGTTAAGGCCTGTGACATCAAATTGAGCTTTTTTGCTGCATGTGGTCCATGAAGATCCCAAAATAACTTTACATATGATCTGGCTTTGTTTATACACATATGAGTTAAAGCTAGACAGAGCCAAAGAACAGCATTTAATGTTTATTAAGCCTTTGCAAAAACACAGACAATTTCAGTCAACTTGAAATTCATTATTTTAGTAAAATTCAAGTATATCTTGCACATCTCACTGGATTGGCACTAGCAGTAGAGGCAGCAGCATAAGCAGGAAGCACTGGCACTTACAGCAGAGAATTGGAAGGCTGAAGCTGCATAGATTTCAAAGGTTGTTCTATAAAGAGAACTCAACATATCAGATATGGTAACAGACTAGAGGCAGTTTCACCTTCGCTGCAGCAGGAACTGGTTATTTTATACTGTGTTACTGGGTGGGTGCTTCTGGTGTGAAAAAGACAGAAGCCTTCTGGTGAATTTTACAAGAAGGATGTATTTAGCATGCTAGTAAGCACAGAAGGTTCATTTACATAAAATATTTCAGTAGAAAAATAAATTTTGAAATTTTCATTTTATCAAATTCAGACTCCACATCTCCACAGCCATCCAGAATAACATGGAGCTGGAACTGATATAAATGTCTGCTCATCCCATTTGCTCTTGGAGAGGATCCACGACATAAAAACATCACCTGACTGCAGGCCTAATAGCTACTGGCAGTGTGTTGCTCCTTCCTGAGCACCTCTGTGATGTAAAATTCTGTTCATCCTGCTGGTTGTGGAAATCTGCATGTTCAGCTGGCAGTAAGATCAGTGCAATTCCTGGAAATAGTCATAAAGCCCTTATGACTGTTTTTGAAAGGGTAGCAGAGAGACATTAGGATAAACCTTGTCCATCTTTTTTATTTTTTCTTTTTTTTTATTCCCCCAGGAAATTACTGAGTTGTTAGAAGAAGCAAACAAAACTTTACATACGTGTCAAATAGGGTTGGACGAGATGAGCTGGGATGGACATACAGATGTCCTTTCCAACCTCAGCCATTCTGTTATCCTGTGAAATTAATCTTCTAAGCCAAAAAGGTATCAAGGAATAATGAAGGCTCTAACAACTAAGGGATTAAGTCCTCAGACTAAACTGTCAGAGGAAGAAAACCTTTAAAATGTCCATAAATTTATGCGCACTGAGAAATTGTCCCAACGCAGCTTCATTATTTTGCATTTTGTGGGTCTGAAATGTTTGTCAGACCAATCAGTGCTCACAATTAAAAGGGAAAAAACACTTTTTTTTTACGTGAAAAGGGATTTGTGTTACTTAGCTGTCAAATGCCTTAAAAGAACCAGAGAAAGTGAAAGGATTATGCAGGATCTAAAGTCTACTGAAATATAAGAGCCACAGCCTTCCATTACATGAAAGAACTGTACTTCAAGTAATAAAAGATGGAGAGAAATACTGAACTCCCCAGCCAGAGAAACCTGAAGACAAAACAGGATTTAGCTCAAATTCCCAAGCAAAAATCTGATAGCACAAAAGCAAGAGCAATAAAGCACAGCTTGTATAAGCTTTTAAGCCATTTAAAATAAAAGATGGATCTTTCATTTATTAGTTAGTCCTGATGAAAAAAGGCATCAGCATTATACAGATCATGAATTATGAATTCTTGATTCATCTAGAAATTCAGTTTCATCTACCATAACCATGAAGAAAGATTTTTGCTCTGAGTTACAGCAAAATATCACATACTGCTTACAGTAAACTAACAGCATTTCTCTCTCTCTGTAATGACATTATTTTCTAGTTCCCTTCTCCAAGTGAATGCTATTAATTATTAAACACTTAAGGCACAAGCAGAAATAAAAATAAATAGCATCTGTAAAAAAAAAATTAAAATACTTAATTATCACACCTTACCTGAAATTTTAGCTCTTACTAAATAGAACAGACTTTAGAATACCAGTCTGATCCCAAAAATATCAACATAAAAAAAAAAAACACTACTAAAGTCGCTGCTTTATCCTGAGGACTTTATACACACAAGAACAGTTGAACAGCTACAGCTGTCTGAAGCATCTGTTCACTCTTTTTTTTTAATAGACAAAATTCAGTAGTTCCTCTGTGCATTCCTACTCCTCCTGGGATGTCCAGCATCAGCTCAATTCACACTTTGTGATTCATGCAGCAACATCCAGCAGGGGAATTCAACTCACCAAATATAAGTATCTACAAGGAAGGTATTGACACAGCAGCCACTCATCTGAGCCTCCACCTCACAGAGGGGCAGAAATGGGCCCTTCAGTGCACATTTCAACATGCAGGGTTAAACCAACTAGCCAAGCTGGACATCTCCATGCCAAAGGTGTCAAAAGTCAATTAAAATTAATTCCACCTTGAGGCTGTAGGCAGGTGGGCTCTTCCACATCTGCCTGTGCAGCTGAAGATGGAATTGCAGAGACCTGTCCCACCTGAGAGGGAAGGCGCCTCCTCCCCCTGGCTGCCAGCAGAACAGGCTGTGGAAGCAGCCCCCTGCCTTCTACCCTCCTCCACTGCTGCTGACCCCTGCTCAAAGCCATGTGGGCACTTTGCATCACTCCTGAGCACTGGGTCATGCTAAACTAGTTGATTTTAACTGAAACAGATTGGGCAGTGCTAGCATGATCCCTTTCCCTTTCTCAGCTGAGCAGCACTAGGCTCCTACAGTGACAAATAATTGTTGGCAATATATTAAGCAGTACAACTGCAGGCCAAAAGAATAGATATTTATAGCCTAAGCAGGCTTTGGGACACTATTTAGACAAGGCTGAGGAATTCAGACATTCCTCAAAGGGGTTTATTATTGTTGTAATAGAGGGATGAGTCTTCTCTTTAGAATCAGACCCATTAAATCAGATACTTTCAAGCTTACAATTTAGTAACTTCAAGGCATAAAATCCCATTCTAGTATAGCAAGGGCTCCTTTACTGGTCTGATTTAAGCTTATTGCAATCATAGAAATTTGCACAGTTCCTGTTTTGAGATACATATGCACGTTTAAAAAATACCCGTATCCAGACCTGATCCTCAAGCTGACAAAGCAAACCCATAATTAATGCTCACCTTCCCCTAATCTCCTATGTATAATTACCCAGTGTCTTCTATGAATAGGAATGTTTAAAAGCCATTTGAGGAAAAAATGGAAGTTCCTTCCTGATATATATATATATATATATATATATATATATTCTCCCATTCATGCTACCTTCCTTCCCATGTTCTTTTTCTTTAAAATTTCAATTATATCTTCAGCATATGAAACAGCTGAAAAGAGTAGAGGAGTCAAGACTCCCACGGCCCTCGAGGAGCAAAGGAAGCAGAGGCTGCACACAGAACCAAAGCTCCCTGCAGTGCTTGGGGGGGTTCCACCATGCAGGAGCTGCTTGACTGACCCCAAGGGTCAATGGGCAGCACCCACCCCAAAGGGCTCTGACCAAAATAATCTTTATTCTCCCAGCTAAGATAAAACATGTACAAATATAATTCAGGTTTGTATATTCTATGAAATAATCAATTTCCTATATAAATTTTCATGTAGAATAAAACACTTTGGCCCCATAGAAATGTGGGCTTTACAAACACAGCACTTTTGTTTCCTCTCAATTAAACAAATTCAATGCCACTTCTTAGATGTGGAATCCATTAAATTTTGTTCTGCAAAGTAATCTTGCATTGATGACAATTGTCAAATCCAACAACTGATGATTTAATGTTCTATTCTCCTTTTTCTAGCAATTACAAGTTGCTTGAAAATTAAATTACAGTTAATATTTCTCCCCAGTGAGGCAGTCTGACATGATGTACAAATGCTTACATTGCCCTGTAAGTCAGTTGTTTCCAGATGAGATGCGTTGACAGCATGAAAATAATTAAATGTCAATATACAACTGGCCTCTTTTATGAAAAATAAACAGGCACAAAGACAAACTGTTCCACTGCTTATACTAACCACCAAATGTTGAGATAACTGCTTATTTTAAACACAACATGAGGCTGCAGTGTAATTTACTGACTTTCACAAACCCAGTTTAGCAATTCAGAATGTGTTCAGAACTAAAGTTCTTATTTGTCTGATGATTCTTCATCTGGATTGACCTTCTCTCCTTGGAGCCACATGAATGCTGACTTTGCTGTGCCATCTCCACTCTGTTGGGAAAAGCAAATGAAGGAAGCCCAGACAAAGCCACAGAGCCCAGTGTAAGCTGTTCTCAGGTGAACTGGGATCAGGATGAAGTTTGACAGCTGTGTGGGAAGGAGAGAGAGCTCAGTTAGTGCTCCAGGCACTGTTACCCACCCAACACCTGCTCTGCTCCTCCTGGGGTCAGACACAGCGTGGACAGGACAGGATCCCAGGTTCTACAGCAGGGAAAGGCTCACACAGTCACCCTGAGAACTCACCTGCACAAAAGGCCAGTACATCAGTCCTGTCTGAAAGGAAAACAAATCATTTGTTATTCTTATGGATTTCAACCACCATGATTCATTTTTCCACATTCAGTGATGACTGAAACGTATTTGAGTAAAGTTAATAAAAGCTGTTCAATTATAAATGGAGTTGCTTAACCTAGAGTTTGCAATATTAAACTTCTAATGATCTTCATGAGCCTCTATGCTCTGAGTTTTTCAAACACATTATTTTAACTCATTTTAAATACAAAACCCTGAGCACAGTTAATTCTTCACAGACATCTGACACCAGACACAATAAACGCATTTACCAGATGGGTGAACAAATGTTTGAGCATGTGAACATTTGTTTCAGCCATTAATGAAAAATACCACTGAACACTATTTATTTCACACTTGCAATGCTCCTTCTACTTACTCATACACGTAAGGCATATTTAGAAAAATCAATGGATAATTTACTCATAGAACATAAGGCTGGTAGAAACCTTATGTTTTGATAGGCTATAGTGGGCATTGCTTTTAGCATCATCTTCCATAGGAATAAAAATAATCCTTTTCCATCCTACCTATACAGTTCTACAATATGAAGAGAAATTCACATTGCAATCACATCTTCTCCTGTTACTTTTTTTTCCCCTGCTAATCCATCCATCATTCTTTTTGCATCTGAGAAACCTTTAACATTCTCAGCTTGCTCAGCTCTGAGGCAGCATAGATAATTTTGTCTTGTGTATGCAGAAATGCAAATCAAAGCCAGCTGTTTATAGCAAAGCCTTCTTAAAACAAGGGGGCTTGTTTCTGAAAGTGAGAAGATTGTCACTGAAAAGTACAGGCTAAAAATGATTCTCAAAGAAAGTGTCTCTGTAATTAATTCTTCTAATAGGTGTACAAGTGTTGTCAATAGTATCACTAACTAAACACTGGTGCGTGGGTAGTTCTTAAGACAAAAGATAAAAAAACCCAGAATCAATGTTGTATTGTATGGCTGTCATTTAAACAGAGCTGGGTGCAACTGTTATGTATATAAACACTGTACATTTCAATTTTTAAAGGCATAATTTCACCCATATGGCAGCACTGCCCAACCCTCACTGCCTTTACTTCACATGACTGACTTAAAGCTTCCTACACATAATCAAATAATGGGAAGGAAGGAAGGAAGGAAGGAAGGAAGGAAGAAAAGAGTGTTGGAGGAAGGAATATTATCCTTTCTTTGTTCTTGTTTAGCTGTGACATAAGTAAATTGCTTGCCTCACCTTATATGTATTCCAAAATTTCTTTTTACAGTCTGAAAAGATGTCCTCTTTCCTCTGAAGGATGCTCATACCTGGTGGTAAAATATTTACAACAATCAGAAAAAGTGCAAAAAATGAAATTATCAGATTTTGCAGTGACATCCCAGACCCTTCTCAAAATACATTATAACATCTTTGAAAGAAAAGCTGATATTGTTACACAAATACCATTCTGACTGCCTAATAGTGGTACATGAAATCTCCTCATCTATGGACTTGACTCCCAGCACAGGCACCCGGGATCAGCTGGGATTTACTGGGTGTACAGGGGTTGTGGCATCTGTGCCATACCACACACCACTGGTGTAGTGGTGGAACAGAGAGGATAAAAGCACCTTTTTCACCCACAAGAGACAGAATAAGGCATTTTGCACATAAGCAGAGGCTCCTTAGTCTGACTCTGGGATCTTCCTGGGTATTCCCATGCCTTGGGGTTATCAATCTCAATGGATATATTATTTTACTGCTACCTAATTCAGGGACTTTTACTAGCCCTCTTCTGGTCCTTCAGATCCCTCTGGTCCTTGAGCAATTCTCAGCTTAAGTTGTGACATAGTTAAGATCTTGAGTGGAAGTATCTGGTGTTTGATTTTTTTTCTTGCTTCATTTCTCTTCAATCACAAATTGAGTAATTTCCCTGATGGAGTGATAGAGTGCAGATCTCCCAATCCCAGACAAAAAGAGGACCAATCTTACTCTTCTACCACATTAAGTTAAATGAGAGCATTTAATTACATTAGTCTCACCTATTAATTTTCTTATTCCCTCATGTTTATTTCTGAAATAGATACTAGACTTCTTTAAAGTATCTTGTTACTTGTTAGGGCGTGGGTAGTTCTTAAGACAAAAGATAAAAAAACCCAGAATCAATGTTGTATTGTATGGCTGTCATTTAAACAGAGCTGGGTGCAACTGTTATGTATATAAACACTGTACATTTCAATTTTTAAAGGCATAATTTCACCCATATGGCAGCACTGCCCAACCCTCACTGCCTTTACTTCACATGACTGACTTAAAGCTTCCTAGGAAGGAAGGAAGGAAGGAAGGAAGGAAGGAAGGAAGGAAGGAAGGAAGGAAGGAAGGAAGGAAGGAAGGAAGGAAGGAAGGAAGGAAGGAAGGAAGGAAGGAAGGAAGGAAGGAAGGAAGGAAGGAAGGAAGGAAGGAAGGAAGGAAGGAAGAAAAGAGTGTTGGAGGAAGGAATATTATCCTTTCTTTGTTCTTGTTTAGCTGTGACATAAGTAAATTGCTTGCCTCACCTTATATGTATTCCAAAATTTCTTTTTACAGTCTGAAAAGATGTCCTCTTTCCTCTGAAGGATGCTCATACCTGGGGGTAAAATATTTACAACAATCAGAAAAAGTGCAAAAAATGAAATTATCAGATTTTGCAGTGACATCCCAGACCCTTCTCAAAATACATTATAACATCTTTGAAAGAAAAGCTGATATTGTTACACAAATACCATTCTGACTGCCTAATAGTGGTACATGAAATCTCCTCATCTATGGACTTGACTCCCAGCACAGGCACCCAGGATCAGCTGGGATTTACTGGGTGTACAGGGGTTGTGGCATCTGTTTCTGTGCCATACCACATACCACTGGTGTAGCAGTGGAACAGAGAGGATAAAAGCACCTTTTGCACCCACAAGAGACAGAATAAGGCATTTTGCATATAAGCAGAGGCTCCCAGGCTGACTCTGGGATCTTTAAAAGCACCTTTTTCACCCACAAGAGACAGAATAAGGCATTTTGCACATAAGCAGAGGCTCCTTAGTCTGACTCTGGGATCTTCCTGGGTATTCCCATGCCTTGGGGTTATCAATCTCAATGGATATATTATTTTACTGCTACCTAATTCAGGGACTTTTACTAGCCCTCTTCTGGTCCTTCAGATCCCTCTGGTCCTTGAGCAATTCTCAGCTTAAGTTGTGACATAGTTAAGATCTTGAGTGGAAGTATCTGGTGTTTGATTTTTTTTCTTGCTTCATTTCTCTTCAATCACAAATTGAGTAATTTCCCTGATGGAGTGATAGAGTGCAGATCTCCCAATCCCAGACAAAAAGAGGACCAATCTTACTCTTCTACCACATTAAGTTAAATGAGAGCATTTAATTACATTAGTCTCACCTATTAATTTTCTTATTCCCTCATGTTTATTTCTGAAATAGATACTAGAATTCTTTAGAGTATCTTGTTACTTGTTAGGTTTTGAGATTAGCCATTAGTAGCATGCTTTATTTCTATAGACTCTCACAACGGAGCTGGTTCGCTGAACGATGGCATTTCCTGACACACCTGTGTTTTGGAAAATGAGACAGCGATGCTGAGAACAGAGCACAGCAATTCAAACAGACATGGATGCTGCAATCCTTGTAAGACGCTTTCCATTCTTTGCTGCTAATTAAAAGCTACGCGCCCGACCGAGCTCAGGGCCTCCTTTGGTCCAGCAGCCCTCCTGGAAAGCTCTGAAGTGCCACAGGCGGTTCAGCGCCCGCGCTCCCCGCGGGCATCCTCGGAGGGAGCTGCGGGGTCTGCAGAGCCCCGGCCGCGGCCCCGCTCCGACGCCCGGCCAGCGGCGCTCTGGGGTGCGGGACCCAAGGGGGTCCCCAGCCACCCTTGGGGTGGATGCCGGTCCCGCTGCGCGCCGGCCGAGCCAGGCGCGGGTGGCGGAGCGGGGCCGCTGCCGGGGGAGGCGGTGGCGGGCGGCTGCGCGGGGCTCTGCGGGGCAGCCCCCGGCACTCACCCGTGTAGAAGGCGAGGACGGCGACGGGCGCGCCCAGCAGCTGATCGCAGAGCACCTTGCCCAGCACGGCGGGCGGGCGGCGGCCGGGCAGCGCCCGCTCCAGCGCCCGCAGCCACACGTAGCTGAAGTTGCCGTGGAAGGCCAGGGCCACCAGCGCCACGCGGCGCGTCTGCGCCCAGTCGGGCGGCTGTCCCCGCAGCAGCTGCTGCGCCGCGTCCCCCGCCGCGAAGAGCCCCCCGTAGAGCAGCACGTTGCACAGCCAGGGGAAGCGCCGCACCCCGCGCAGCAGCGCCCCGGCCATCGCCCGCCGCCGCTTCCGCCGCTTCCTCCTCCTCCTTCTCCTCCTCCTCCTCCTTCCCACGGGCCCGCCCGCCGCCGCCTCGCCATCCCCGCGGCCCCGGAGCGCTCCCTGCGCCGGGGAGGGCCGGCTCCCCACGCCGGGCCCGGGTGGGTGGTGGATGGCCCCGGGTGATGGCCGGGCAGCCGGGCGTCAGCTCGGGGGCTCGCTTCTCAAGTGCCTGTGCATTCACCCCGAAGATGTAGGTGACTGTGTCGCCTGTGCTTTGGCCTAAGTAGCACTATGGGGTCACTGTGCACTAGTGCCGCAGCTATTGAGTGACAAATGAAAACTAGGCACTGTTTCCTTATTATATTTTGTAATCATTTCCTTGTTCCGTGCTTACATGAGCAGGTTGTTCTTTTCAGTTTTGCCCCTGTTTTGCAGTCTGAGCAGGGCCGAGGCACACCTCTGAGCAGCAGCAGCCCGTGGGGCTCCTCTGCTTTGCCTTCTGCTGCTGAGACAGCTTGAGAAGAAAGGCAAATGGTGTGAGGTTATTGAAGAGACTCATGTACACAGCTTTGTACACACAGAACCAGTGCCACAAAGCGGATCAGAAGTCCTCAGGTAGTGAGGTGACACTGAGTAGTGGCAGCATGTAATGAGGTGTCCTGCAAGACCTTGGCCACGGAAGGAAAGGAGCGCGTCCGGGAGCGCCGGGAGCTTCCCCTTGCTCCTGGCAATGACCTCAGGCTTGACTGAGGGAACCATCTCCAGGCAGGAGGTGATAGTTCGCTCTGTGACCTGGATTAGTGCCTCTGAAACTATCATGAATTCTTCCATGAACAACTAAAAATAGGCATGGATGGCTTGTAGACCCAAGTAAAATGTAATAAGCGTGCAGAGCGCTCTGCGCAGCGCTCGGCGGACACGCTGTGCCAGGGCCCGGGGCTGCCCCTCCGGCCCTCATATCGACACACCCCTGCGCAAACACAGCCAGCTGCAAACAGCGCTATTAAATAACAGCAGTGGCACTGGTAGGACGAGGGATATGTACCGAAAAGTAACTCCAGCTTGGAAGAACACCAATAAAGCTCAGGAAAAGCCCAGGTCTCCGGGGGCTGCTTGTCGGACGGGAGCCCACAGGCAGGTGCGTGCTGTCCGCCGCGGTGGTGCAGCGGTCCGCCGCGGGACCCGTACGCGGAGGAAAGGCTTTGATGCCCCCGTAGGCGACAGCGGGGTGACAACCGAGAGTTTCGCGAAGGCTGGAGCCATGCAACGCCCTGCCGGGGTCCGGCCTGCCACAACCCGCCACGGCGGGGACTCGAACACGGGTACTAGCAGCCCCACTGCAGAACCGGCACCCATCATCACTGGGATCGCGCTCCGTGCACATGCGCTAAGATCTGTCACTGACCCGGGCTCTCTCCGGGACTGTTCCATCAGCTGGCGTGGGGGGGAAGGACCTCAGGCGGTGCGCGGAGCGAAGGGCCGGCCCCGGCCGCGCCGCACCGTGCGCAGTGTGCTCGCCGCGCATCCCCCCGCTGCTGCGACGCGGTGGTGCGTGCGGCGGGGGGCGGGCCGGTTGCCCAGGTGAGCGCGCGAGCGGTGGGGCCGGGGCCGTGGGGAGGGGCGCGGGCCGGCGGCGGCCGGGTCTCGGTGCGCGGCGCTGCCCCCCGGGCTGAGGCGGCTTTGCCCGCCGGAGCTCTGGGGCAGCAGCGGAGCTCCCGGGCGTGTCCCCCTCGGTTCCCACAGCCGCCGGTGTGACCGGCATCCGTGTCCCGGATCTGGACCTAGGCAGGATAACTACCAGGAAATGCTTCAGGAGCGGGTTTTTTGCTTTCTTTAAAAAAAAAAAAAATGACGGAGCATATTTCCCGTCAGCGTTAGCCTTCAGCAGCATAGGAGAGAAAATATTACTAGATAATTATTATTATCCCCATTTTTTAAAATTGCAATGGAGGCGTTGGCTGCCCCGTGTTTGCTCTTGTGCCGGTGCAGTGTCAAAGCAAACATTGGCTGTGCTGAGCCCGTTCGCTCTGCCGCCCCGAGGCCGCTGCCCGCCGTCCTGCCCCTCCCGTCCCGTCCCGTCCCTCGGTGGCTGTGCGGACGCCGTGCCTCTGGAATAACGAGTGCCTCGTCTGCTGAAGGCTCCCAGTGCACACGCCCCTCCTTGCGTCACTACTATATGCAGCACGCCCGGGTTTATGTGATGCTTGGGGTGCTCCGGAGAAATGTGAATGGGGTGTGCTCCAGTGAAATGGTTGGGAGATTCGGGAAGTGTCTTTCTGACGTGGCTGATGGGTTGGTGGCAGAAAAAGTTTGATATATTACAAGCTTTCTGAAGAATACACTGTTACGGAGTATTTGTTAGTGTTTAAAAGCTTAGGTTCTTTACTGGTGCTGACAGAGGTGACTCCTGCTTGTTCTGAGAAATTTTAATTGAGTAAAATTTCACTGGAATAGTTTGGAGTATGCTGTCTATGAACTGGACTCAAAGAGAACCCTGGTGTGGTACAGGGTTATTTAAAGACCGTGCATTAGTACAGGGCAAGTGTAGTACTGACCAAGCTCTTTGCTTGACTTATGATGAACTCATCATAAGAAGCAATAAAGACACTGCAAGATTGAAATACCTAAAAGATGTTTTGATTATTCTTTATGTGAGGAATAGCCTGTAATGGTCTGCAAAAACTTGCCTGATTTTTCCATATATACAGATAAATACGTGTCAAGAGTTATCATTTGGTTTACTTCCTCTCTTGTTTATCATGGCTTTTTTCCACATGTGTGATAAAAGCTGTAGTTCTCTGTATAATAAAATGCCATAATACAATTATGGTCTTCTAGATATTTAGCAGTAAGTGCCCTCCTGGAATAGTCTTTGGTTGAGATTGTGGTAAATCTGTACAATTTGCAGTTTATCAAGTCTTGAGCATGACATGTCAGGATTCTTCTCCCCCAGATATATTTAAAATTCCTCCAAGCTGGGATACATTTTTCTGCAGAGAATGTCTGTGCACTTATCTCATGGACATTATTTAAGCATTATCCTAGTAGCTTTGAGACTGTCTTTGATTTGAACCGTGGATTCTCTCCTTGCTGTGTATTTGTGCAGGGTGCCAGTGATGTGATAAGTACTTTTTAACTTGTATTAACATTTCGTGCAACTTTGTATTTTTCATAACCATTTTGACACTATCACCTAATGAGCTGTAATGCAGTGACATTGGGTGACTGCAGTCTTTAGGGGCTTGCAAATGGAAAAAGATTTTTTTAGCAGATGAGAAACTTCCTGAGAATTGAAAACATTGCACAGTAGGACTGCAGTGAAAATTATTGCAGAATCTGACTCACAGGTGTGCACACCAAACATGTCTTGGTTTGATTTTGCAAATTAACTTTGTTTCAGTTTTTTTATTTTTTTGCATTATTTTTTAAGGTATTGGTTTCAGCGGGTTTGTTTTTTTTTGTTTTTTTTTTTTTTTCATTATTTTTTAAGGTATTGATCTCATAAGTGATGTCATTATGACTAATTTTATCTGAAATTCAGTAATCTTTTATTGGGCTGAACTTATTTAAATAATTCTGGAAGTCTGTGTTAGATTTCAGAAGTTTCCCTTAACAGAACTATTCTATTTTTTTTCCCATTTGGATTTTGATAGAAGTGACCAATTTTCTGAAGGATTTTAAATTTCAAGTTAGGTGACTTTGTCAATGGTAAAACAGTGCAAATTCTTTCCTTGTAACTTCTTGCTATCTCTACAGCAGTATTTTCCCTAAACATGAAAAAAACTTTTTTGGTTTCTTGCTCGGCCTGTGGCTCTTGTCTTTTGTTACTCTGCTATTTACCACAACATCCTGGTAAGTTTACAGGAAACTCAGGCAGCCAAGCTGCATTAAGGTCCTGGCACATGTCAGGGCAGTAAATAAAGATTAAAAGAGTGCATATCTGTAAGCAGAAGCCTTGTGATGACACAATGCCATTTTTATTCAAGCCCAACAGTCATGAAGTGTCTGTTTTTTTTGTTATCTTAAATTTTTCTTACCCTGGAGAATAAAAAAAAATATTCTTTTAGCTGAAGAATACTGGTATTGTTTGAGATTAATTTACTGTCAAGAAGAGTTTTTGGTTTTTTTTTTTAATGGTAAAACCTTCTTTTAAGGTGTTATGGTAATGTAGTGGGAAAATGAGCTCCCATGAAACAGGGAACGAGCTACACCTGTGAGCTGCTTCTCACAACATTAGTTTATGTGAACTGTTTAAAATTCATCCCTTTATTTCTTTAGGAGTGCAGCCTACAGAAATAAAAAAGCAAGATTGGAAAACATTAGTATAGAAGCAGCATTCTCCCTTTTTAATTTGCAATTAATTTTCAGTCTTACCACAGTTGGAGAATGGCCCCTTATCCTCTCCCCAGTTGCCAAGTGACTCCAAGGTGTGACATTCTGCCTGTAAAATCATAAACAGCTCACAGTTCAAAGTACTTAATGCAATAGTAACAGATTAGTTACAGAATAGGGAAGTGACTACAAATCAAAGCTGTTGCAGGATAAGCTCGGGAGCTGGATTAACACATGGGAAAGCAATGAATGATAGAAGTGGAAGCAGGCTGAGTGAGGTGTGCCAGGGGCTGAAGGAGGCTGGAGGTGCTGGGATGTGAATGGACCCCTAGCAGGAAAAAGCCATGGCTGGTGCCTCCTTAGAGCTTGGAAGGATTTGTGTGTCTTGGAACTGCCCTGGCCAAAGGCTGCCTGTGATCCAGGGGAAGGACTGAGTGCAGAAACTTCCTGCAGCTCCTTTAACCCCCTGAACGCCTGTGCTGCCCTTAATTCAGGAGGGAGTGCTCAAGAACTCCTCCACAGTCGTTTTCAAAACCTGTTCAAGACCATGAAAAAAATACTCTATTACTGCTGTTGTTATTCAAGTGTGTTCAGAAACCTTTCTTAACTTAATGGTTTGTTGCTGCAACTTTGCCACACCTATTTTTCTTGCTGCTTAAAAGAAGCAGAAAGTCTCCTGCTTCCCAGCTCCATGACCTTACTAATGTGAGCAGAGGAGGAACTTACAGAAGGTTCAGCGTGCAGCAGGTAAAGGTGGGCTTCTTCTCCTTCCAGAATTCAGAGGAGAAAATAAGCTGCTGCATATCTACTTAGCAATTGGAAAAAATCAGAAGGGATTAATTTTCCAATTCAGCCCATATCAGAATTCGAAGACTTTGTGGATTTCGTAGCATTTTTTGGAGCTTAGTGTAACTTAGGAGTTTCAAAGCTGTATTTTATGTAGTTATTCTGGCAGCTTATTGGCAGAAGGGTTTCGTGTGTGTGTAATTAGTGAGACAGGATGAGTCACAAGGTAGGGAGGGATGTGCAGTTTTAAACATCTGATGTCATGTCAGCTGGTGAATTTTATGTTAGTAGCAAACAAAAGCAGCTCAGAGCCCTTTTTATAATGGCTCTACATCTTTGAGTCCTCATTTACAACAGATCTGAATTTTTGCATGTGATGCTAAGGAAGGTTCAGACAAGTTACTGCCTTCCAGCCATTAATGATGTTTTATGGCAGCCTGTATTAAATTATGTGAGATAATCACAATCAGTAGATTGTGATCATTTACTCTCTTAAGGGCCTGCAGGAACAAAACTGATTTTTTTTTTTCCAAACTTCTTTCCAGAGTTTCTTTGACATGTTGCAACTCTGGAAGCCACTCAAAATGTACGAACATATTGCCAAAGATCAAATTTATATTTTTCCTTTGGTTATGTCTGTTTTCTTCGGAGTATTGAATGCTTGCAGTGTGTGTTGGATTTTTTAAATCTGTGATGAGGTCTGGAACTTTTTGTATTTGTACTGCTTTGTCACTCAGTGCTTAATTAGGTTGTGGTCCTTATACCTGGTGGGTTTTGTACAAGTTAGTGTAGAACTGTAAAAACCTATTTATTGCTGAGTGCTGGGAGTTCTGATGGTAAAATATTACTCAGCACTTGTTCTATTCTTTTGTTCTTCCCCCAAACATTTGTTACTGGCCGCTTCCAATGCCATGGAATAGAGAATTGTCAGACTTGGTCTGATCACTGTGCCCATGCCTGGCTACTGATTCTTTCAGCCACCTACCACTTGCTGTAATGTGAGTTAAATCTCAAAATATTTGGTTAAAAATAGTCTTTGAACATATGGTAACTCTCAACTTCATTTTTTTTTTCCTTTCTTGATCAGTCCTCCGGATGAAAATAGTGTAAAATCCTCATGTAAATTAATCCCACTACCTTCTGTGATTAAATTTGCTTTTGTGTCTGCATCTGCCTGAGTGAATGCATTTGCCTGTGGGATTTTTTTCTTTAAACAACTCCTGTCTCTCCCCCTGTGCCCCAGCCTTAGCAGCAGCCTGCAGGGGTAACCACCAGAGTCTTTGGTACGTGGCTGATGGCTTGGTGTTGAATTTATGGAGGTGAGGCAGGGGGCAGGGACTCTGTAATGGGGTCACCTCAGTATCTCAAGGGGTTTTGCCATCTAACGTGATGGGACTTAGCAGTGGTGTTGCCTTCTCCCCTCACACTGGGGTATGTTTATTTTTAAATATAGGTAAATCAGGCTCTGCCAGATGACACCTTCCACATTCTCTGGAAGCTTCAAATGGCATCTAATGCTTAAATGGGTAAATGCTCCTGTCCAGGTGTCTGGTGTCAGTGTCACAAGCTTCTGTCAGGCCTCTTGAGTTAAAGTTCATGAAAGAGACTTATTCACAGCCAGAGCAGTCCTTTGGGAAATACTTTGAGCTTGTCATTGGTTTGGGGCAAATAAGTTCCATGATTTTTAAACTCCTCCATCCTGGCAATATCTGTGGTTACCTGAGTTCAGCAGTGAAATCAGGATTTTTGGCCTGTTCTGTGCAGCTGGAGGATAATTGCTGCATGTCATCCTGTCTTAGCTGCCTGCTGCAGGTTAGTTTTACTCTTTTGTCTACATGAAGGGAATTTCTCCAATTAGTTAAGATTAAAAACTGGTTTAAAGGTACAAGAAATAGGAAAAAATAGATTTACAAGGGTATTTGGACTGGGTGTTTTCTCATCAATTTTGAAAACTACCATTGTAAAGGTCTGCTGGAGAAGTTGCAGGGAATGCCATTTCTCATCTAGGGCAGTCTCAAAGGATACTTTCTTGTCTTTCTAGACTAAATGTTGAGTTAACCCCTTCTAGAATTTATTAGATTGTAGAGACAGTAGTAAGACAAATGGGTTTTGATCTTTTCTTGAAAGTTGCTGTCTTTTTCCTAAAAGATGGTGGACCCTACTCTAGCAGAAATGGGGAAGAATCTGAACGAAGCAATGAAGATGCTGGAAGACAATCAGAGGTGTGTGCAAAGCATACAATAAAAAACAATAGCTGTTTGTGCTAAGGGGAGGATTATTTGTGTCGCTGGCATTAAGCAGAGAAACCCCTCATTTTTCTGTGGTTTAAGGTCACATTGTCATTCTGAAGCTTACACCTATACAAATCATCTTTGTTTCTCAAATGCTGGGATTTTTAGAGTAAATGTGTACATATTTATGCATGTTCTCTAATACCCAAAACAAGTCTGTTTCTCAAAGTTAGGATTTTTTTGTTTTATTATTGCAGTGCCAGCAATTTTTGGTTCCTGTATATACAATATTCTTCTCTAAGCTTTCTGTTAAAAACTGAAAACCTCAACAACTTGGAAACTTTTTAATTCAGTCTGAATGAAACTTATGTGTGGATCTCATCTGGTTTATTTCTGAGCTATTGTCAGTGAAATAGATATATGTCAGGATGCATTTCTACAAGTCAAAGTCAATTACATATTTGATGTTATCAAATCCAAGCTAAATACAGAGTTTATTCTGTGTCTTTAACTTAGGAAAGTGGAGGAGGAAAATGAAAAGAAATATGCACGGAAGGATATTCCTGGACCACTCCAAGGCAGGTAGGCAGCAGCAATTTTTACATAATGCTCTTTTCAAAATCTTAAACTACACATAGCATGTTTGTCTTCCAAGCAATTTGCATTAATGGAAAAGTTAACATTTTTCAGGCATCATAATAAACTTTTTCCCATACTCACATGGGGGAAAAAGTGATATTATAATCCTACCAACTATTTTCATTCTCATGTAGAAAAGAGAAAAAAACATTACTTGTCCTCAGTGACTGAAATTTTGAACTCTTGGAATCTGATGAAGTAGTGGTGCCTACAACTGTGATTGTTTACTCAAAGTAAACATAAACTTCTGATAAGGTAAAAAAACAATAAAAAAAACCCCACCAAAACAAAAACAACCAAAACCCCAAAACAACAAAAAAACCCCACCAAACCCCAGGAACCTCCCACCTTTTCAGCACAGCTGTCTTTAGAAATTAAACAGAGCTTTGTCCATAAGGCAGGTAAGACCATTGTACCTGAAAATGAAGATTTAAATTGGTTGTGTCCTCTCTGGGAGATGATCCTGCAGGAGCTCAGGCTAGCACTTCAGAAAATATTGCAAAAGCTAGTTAAGTCTCTGCTGTGCAGAAACTAACCCTGGTTTTGAGTGGAGACACTGAGTTATCTCTTCTATGAGTAAAAAGCAATTTCAGCTATCAGTGTAGGTTCTTACACTACTGTTAATTTTAGTTGGAGTTAGAAAAGTTGAGGTGGATCTTTTCCAGCTTTACCATGTTATGTGAGAAGTCTAACATAGCTTGTGTCTGCCAGAAACTGAGATTTGTAGGGAATTGTTTAAGAGATGAGCTGAGGCAGGTTCATGTGAAGTGAAATGTGAATCCTTAGCTACTGCCTTGGTTAGCTGTGTAGCAAAAAGAATTCAATGTTGGCAAGTCAGGCTTTTCAGACCAAGTTTTCAGGTATCAGTAGATTTGGTTTTCTGAGTCTCCTACTATAAGCAAGTAGGGTTTTGAGTTGATTCAGCATCCTCATCTTTGTGATCAGTTTTTCTGAGACCAAGGAACCATTTCTGGTGCGGTACTCAGCATTCAGTAAAAGTGGAGTGTCCCAGATGGCCTCTTTTAGACACTGCTCTTTACCTGTCTGTGTCTCTTCAATGTGGTTTTGTTTCCCCTCCCAGTGGCCAGGATATGGTGAGCATACTCCAGTTAGTTCAGAACCTAATGCATGGAGAGGAGGAAGAGGAAACTTCACAGTCCTACAGGTGAGGCCAATATCAGTGACTGGATGTGGAGACACCTGATTTTTTAATATTCTGATCACTACAGAACTTATCCACTTAAGTTCTATATGTGTTTCAGTATATATAATTTCTCTATATTTTTTAGTATATAAACTTATATGCATAAGTACATATATTATGTATTTTAAAGTGTAAAATATTGTACAACCAGGTAACTTTTTAAAGGCACCTTACATTGCATAGTGAAGCAGAATAATGCATGAGGCTTAGCTTTCTTAAAATTACAAAGCTTCCATTACTCATTGCTAAATTGAGTTATACAAGAGAAATGTTTCTCATGTGACAGCTCATTTTTTCCACTTCCTCAAAGTTGTTTTAAGTCTTAAAGCTTTCAATACTAATAGATTTTGATCGTGTATCTCTGAAGATTTTAAAATGAAAGGAAATAAAATTTGTTTCCATTTTTCAGTAAAATGGAAAAGGTACTAACTGATCTGCAGAGGATTATTGAAAACTAACATTCAAAAAATATGTTCAAGGTTTTAAAAAAACTCCAAAAAAACAAAAACAAATAAATAAAATAACCACCAAAAAAAAACCCCAAAAAAAACACTAATAAAGAAAAGCTGTGCCTCCAAATATAGTAATGTAAATGTCCTGAGTTTTCTGTGCATAGGAGAGAAGGGTATTAATGCACTTTCAGGTCCCAGTGCAGATAAGGTGCTTAGTTCCAGCTCATGTTGGCTGGCTCAAAAGCAGGAGCTGTTCCTGTGAGCAGCTGGGCCAAGTGAGGTGCTCTGTGTGCACTGGCAGCTTAGTGTGTCATACACGAGGGTGGCTGTGATCTACTGCACTTCTCTCTGCTAAACATTTATATTGCAAGTCAACCAATTCTGCCAGTCTGCATTAAAAATCCATAAAGCCCATTTTGCTGTAATGCCCATGACTTGGTTTGATTGGCAGTTTCTGTGTTCTGGCTTGCAGACTTCAGAACGTTGGTGAACAGGGTCACATGGCTCTACTGGGACATAGTTTGGCTGCTTATATATCTGTGCTGGACAGGGAAAGACTGAGAAAACTTACAACGAGGATCCTTTCTGACACTACTCTCTGGCTCTGCAGGCTTTTCAGGTGAGTCCCTGGGAATAACTGCTGTGACAAGGTAGTGATAATGTTTAAAAATGGATGTGATTGACTGAGGATGTCAGCTAAAGAAACCACCATGTCACAAACTTAGAAATCCTTGGAAGGTCCAAACGCAGCCTTAACCTAGCCTAAAGAATACCAGGTTGCATTACCTTTAAAATTAGCAGTCCAGAATTTAAATCTATATTAAAACCAGAATGAAGCCTTTTGTGTGATTCCTCCCACACTCCACTTTTAGTAAGCAAGGTTTTGAACTCTCTAAAGGCAATCTTAAAGGAACACAGATGTTTCTTTCTTTCTTTTCTGAGTTTAAATGAAAATATATACTAGGCTTCTCTCATTGTTAATCTCAGCCTGTCTTGTAAAAGTTTTCTTTTAATCTACTTTAACCTGGGAAAATAGAAGGTTTTTTATTATCTTCTCCATCCTGTGGCATACTTTTTTGTTGGTCAGTGTTATTCTAGTCCTTAAACTGACTGATGGTCTTGTTGCTCATATTTACTTGGCTTTTCTTGCAGGTATGAAAATGGATCAGCCTATTATCATGAAGATGATCGTGAAGGTCTCCTAAAAATCTGTCGACTTGTAATTCACACCCGCTATGAAGATTATACACTCGAGGGCTTTAATGTGCTCTACACTAAGCAGCCTGTCATATACATCAGTTCTGCAGCCAGGACAGGCCTGGGCCAAGCTCTCTGCAATCAGGTAAAGTCAGCCAGGGGGGTTTTACTGCAGTTAGAACCTACCTGCCTTCATATTGCCTGCATAGCTTTGGGGGTTTTGGCAACTTATTTTTCCTCATGGTGGAAATAACGGCAAAGGAAGCAGAGTCCATTATTGGTTATTGGGCATAACCTCAGCTGTAGTGGACCATACCTTTAAAATAAAACCATTTGTCTAGGAAAAATAGTTTATTTACAGCTTGCGTTTTGCAGTAGTGATACAGTGGGAGGAAGAGAAATTTTCTGAATATTTCAAGTGAAATGAGTGATTATTTCTAGGTTGCATTGTGATTTACATAAGCTGGTCATGTGAGATAGGCCTGAGCCCAAACATACATAATTTGTCCTGTGCTTTTTCCTTATTAATTTGATTATAAGTTTTAGCAGAAAGCTTACTTTATAATATAATATTAAGTTTTCTATTGTCACACTGATTTTTTATGTCACTCTGTATTTGTGAACATGTGAAAAGAGTATTTCTCAGTGGAAACTCCATCATTTCTGTTGCAGTTAGGGTTGCCCCTTTCCTGCATGTGCCGTGTGCCTTGTAACACTATGTTTGGATCTCAGCATCAAATGGTAAGTTTCTCTTCTCTAAGAGTTCTTTCTGTGCTTTGGTTGGTTTTTAAGCCTCATTAAATGAATATCAAGTATGCTGTTAGGAAAAGCTGTTAATGCATTTACTTCTTCAACTTCTAAGTCTTTTGTGTTAAAGCCCTCCAAATCATAAATGGAAATTTTCTAAAAGCAGTTTGTATCTTGGTCTTGTCATTTGCAAAATATTTTAATGGCTTTTAAGTAAAGTGCTTTTTAGTGCAAGATTTCTAGAATAGGACTAGTTGGAGTACTTTCACAAGCTACATGGTGTATTTGTGTTTTATTTTTCACAAATGCTTTATTCATATTATTTTGCCTTTGAGAGGAAGAAAGTGCAAGCCAAAACCAAAGACATTGAGAATGTTTCCTTTCAGAATTTCAGAATGCTGTTCATTTGCAATCTTAATGCATTTTCCCTATTCAGCATAAACAATTCAGTGTTTGACCAACATTTTCTTACGATACCAGGATGTTGCTTTGTTGGACAGACTGATTAAAGATGATGTTGAGTTTGGAAAACTGCCTTTGTTGCTTGTGGCCAATGCTGGTAAGTGCTGTGGACAAACAATCACAAAAACCCCCATGCTACTTCATGAATATATACACAATAAAAAACCAAAGAACATATAAAATAAAAAAACAAAAATTTTCCTAAACAGCTCAGTGGTTGCCTATCAAGAAGTATCAGGAAATATCTTAATGACCACACAATCATTATCTGTCCAAAGGGGATTTTATTTAACTAATTCAATTTTGAATTGTGCTGTTACAGTTTTGCATATGTCAGTTGATGTATTAATATGACTGTAACTTACTTTATTGAGTGCAGATCTCTTGTTAAAAATCAGTTTTACATTAACACTTCAGAATTCTTAGATGGATGTGCCATCAACTTTAGCTTGAAAAATATTTTTTCTTCTCATTAATTAAACACATGTACAAAATTTGCTTTAAGTATGAATGGGGAAAGCGACTGTTACTTGTTTGGGGCCTGGAAAGTGATCTGAGATCAGTTCAAGAGGCTGATTTAGCAGAGCCCCAGTGCAGGCTGATCCTGTCACTGTTTTTGCCTGTTCAACCAGGGACTCCGGGTGCTGGGCACACGGACAAGCTGGGCCGGCTGAAGGAGCTCTGTGAGCAGCACAAGATGTGGCTCCATGTGGAAGGGTATGGAACTGGAGACTTCCTGCTCTAGAACTGTGTTCATTAAAAAGTCTGACTAATAGACACCATCTAATTTAACAGCTCACAGAGAGCCATAGGGCCAACTTTAGTTGGTCATAGTAAGCATTTTATATGGTTATAATTCTGTTACTGTGAGATAGAAATTGATTTATATACACAGGAAGAATTAATTGGAGAGGTAATTTCAGCACAGATTAGTGATCACTTTTATTCAGATGGTAATCTTATCGGCCCTTGCTTTGAAGAGCTTGAAATATTAGTAAAAAGACCTTCTAGGCTAGGGAGGCCTAAAAAGACCTTCTAAGTCAGGGAGGACATTATACAGTGGTTATTGAGAATGAAATGGCACTTCAATGAAGGTTGTCAAGAAGGCTTCAGCAAGAGCAGTGTGTAAGAGAACTGAGAGGGGGATTAAACCCAGAGAAAAATAAATTCCAAGAACTTGGACAATGTCAATGAAGACTCCAGTGCTCTAAGATTATATTTTTTGAAGCTGAAATAAGGACAGCTTCTCCTGGTACTTTGTAGAATAGCTGTATTTGCATACTATTTATTTCTGATACCAAATTGATGCTAAATTATGGATACAACCTTGGGTGATTATTTCACCAAATGCTGGACTGAAAATTTTTAGAACAAAGTAGGTTTTTACTTTTGAGTTTTCAGTCGCGGAATACCAAGTAGCAACATCTCCTGCGTTGTTAATGAAAAATATATGAACAAAAATTACCTCCCTTTACACATCAATATGAAATTTTTTAACTGCAGATTAAAATGCTGTCTCTTAATACATATTTAATATATGCTAAACCCACTTTTTTTTTCCCAGTGTGAATCTGGCAACTTTGGCTTTGGGTTATGTCTCCTCTTCTGTACTGGTATGTTTTCTCTATATCTAGCAACTTTAAAATGTGCTTGTGTAAGGTTAATCAAAATATATATGGCTTATATTGTGCTTATTGTAATAAACTTCAGGCTGCTACAAAATGCGACAGCATGACTCTGACTCTGGGTTCCTGGCTGGGGCTCCCTGCAGTGCCTGCAGTGACCCTCTACAGACACGAGGACCCATCCTTGGTATGTCCAGTTCTCACTCACCACCCTCCAGATCCTGGGATTCTGGTTCTGCTCACAGTGTGCTGCCATGTTCTTCATAAGCATCTAAATTATAATTTCCAAAGCTGGCAAGAGTGGCAGCATTGAGGGGAGGTTAACAGTGGTGTGTTTGTTTCCCTCCTCAGTCCTTGGCAGCGGGGCTGACGTCGAGCCAGCCCGTGGAGAAGCTCCGTGCCCTGCCCCTGTGGCTCTCCTTGCAGTACCTGGGCCATGATGGCATTGTGGAGAGGATAAAACATGCCTCACAACTGGTGAGCAACAGCTCAGCAGGGATTTATGGCAGCTTTTGACAGATCTTTCTGGTTATTGGGATGTGTTGTCGAAGATATAACTATAATACTGCAGTTGTTGATAGTATAACATTGGGTCACATTATTACACCCACGATGAAAGCACAGGAAAATGTTTGAGGCAGGGTTTGTGCTTTTACTATTAGATTGTATGTATATTTTTATAAATGAGAAAAAAAGGTCTTTGTTCTTCCTAGACAGTGAAGTAACATAATAATTTCCCTTTTTGTCACTTCTCTTAGCTATTTTTCCTTGAAAGCTCTTCAGAAAGACTTTATTTTCCTACTCAGCATTGTGTTGATTTAAATACTGGTAAATTACTTCTAGTAAAAAGGACTTCTAAACGTTTTTGAGGTACAAGTGCACTATGTTTGGAGTCCTTACTTTAGTAAAAATTAAGGTCCAGTGTAGTGTGTTAGTTACAAAGTGCAGTGCTTATATGCAAAATATTATTTCTTTAAGGTCACACTTTGTTGTCAGTGTTTTGCTAAACCCAGAAAATACTTTTCTGTTACATTCCAAATTGACAAATGAAATGGATGAGTCTGACATGTTGGAGGGGTTTGCTCAAAAATTGCAACTGTTTAATGTTTTTTTAACTTCTTTTAACTTCTAAAACTGTATTTCTCTCCTCCATTTGTTCTCCTGCTCTGGTCTTCTAGAGTCAAAGGCTGCTGGAAAACTTGAAAAACCTGGATTTCATTAAAACCTCGGTACAGTTGTTTTTAATATTTTGGTTGTATATCTTAGTTTCTGCCTGTTATAATAAGAATAACTTTGACTAGAATAAATTATTAAAATATTATATTAATCATAAACATTGTTTTGAAGACACTTGGGGATCCTTCTAATTAAGTGCTGGTGTTCAGTCTGGATTGTGTTTGTTCCATTGCTCTGTACTGGTGCACCCATAGGAGTGCAGAAGAGCATCCAGAAGTTGTGTTCAGAGCTTGATTTAATTCCATGTAGAACATGGGTTTGCTCAGTAACACATCTGTGAAACCAGTTTCCCTAAGTGTCTCTAATATATTCTGGCTGCATATTACCCTGCTGTTGAGATCATGCTGTGAACCCTGTGGTATTGTCCACAAAAATTATCCCAGCTGAGGTTTCTACACCAGAAATAGGTTTAGAAATCACAGCTAATGTATTCATTCCAAATTCAGTTTCTGTGAGATGTCCTGTCCAAGAGGGTTTGGTTATTTTATTCTGACCTTCACCCCGGAATTTTAGTTGATATTTGATGTATGGAAAATTTAGTCAGCTTACTGAGTAAGCTGTAGAGTATTAATGGCCTTGGGAGTTCAAGTTACTGTATCACTTACCCTCCTACTCAAATAATCTTGAAATTTTTAGGATTTCAGATTTCTGTGAGATGTCCTGTCCAAGAGGGTTTGGTTATTTTATTCTGACCTTCACCCCGGAATTTTAGTTGATATTTGATGTATGGAAAATTTAGTCAGCTTACTGAGTAAGCTGTAGAGTATTAATGGCCTTGGGAGTTCAAGTTACTGTATCACTTACCCTCCTACTCAAATAATCTTGAAATTTTTAGGATTATGAAATGTAGCCTCAGTCTGTCTCCAGAAGTAGCACAGTCCATCTCTCCAAAGCAGGAGCAATTACAGTCTTACTGTTCCTGCTGGAACTTTCTTGATGTTTCCCAGTGATTCTGGGGTGATTTTAGAGATCTCAAGCTTTGCTCAGCAGTGTAAGGAGTTGTACATGGTGTTAAATCTTTAAAAAAGCAGGGGAAAATATTTTTTTTCTTTTAAGGTTGAAGATGAACTGAGTTCACCAGTGGTGGTTTTCAAGTTTTTCCAGGAATATTCAAATAGAGGTATGTGATTTATTTAACACAACCAAAAAACCACCCCTCTCTATAGAGTACTTTAAACTACTAATTCACCAAATGAATTTGAGGTAAATGTGATGCAGTGCAGTTCTCTCATGTAACATGCTTTTAAAAAGGTTGTGGATGCTGGTCACAATCTGTGACAAATCATACACGTGATAGCTTCTTTTTTTAGACAGACTGCAGTGTTTTAAATTTTCATAACAAATAATTTTCTGCCTTGTTGAGTGAGAAGATTTGCATATGATTTTGATCTTGGGAGCAGATGATGGAAGTCTCTTACAAGCTGCAGGCTGAGTATGAGTGTACTGGTGGGGAGAGATTTTGGTTTTTTTCAGGTTTTCTGTTCCTTTCAATCATTTCATAGCTCGTGGCAAGCACTACATTGCTGTGGTTTACTGATTACAGTTCCTGTTGCAATTATAAAAGCAGCAGAACGTATTGGGAACATCACTGGAAATGCTGTCACAGGTGTTAAATATTTGCAGCCTCCTGTGACAGGATTTTGCTTTGTGAAAACAATGGTTGTATTTCCATTGGGGCATTTTAACCTCAAAACTCAGAAGTATTTTACTGGTTTGGTTGGTTTTTTTTTAACTATTACATTCAACTCTGTTTTACTTCCAGCATTTATTGTGTTCAACATATTTTTACAAAAACATCCATCTGCTCCAGGCCCAGTACATGGTGTGGATGTTTTATATTAGCTAGGAAATGTAATTGTCTTTTATCTAAATTTTAGGTTGCCTTTTGTTTAATTAAGTAAATACCAGTCCACTTCTGTGATTCTTGTGTCTTTGGGTTCAGATCAGACCTCACATGCTGCACAGGCCTCAACTATTCAGCATCCCATAATAAGCAACGAAGGGCACATTTATGACACCTTCAATCAGTGGGTAAGAATGGATGCTTTTTTCTTTAGGAAGGGGAGTGACAGTGGAGTAGTTCAGGGGGTCATCAGGAGCTATAAACCCTTTGCTAGAATAGTTTGAAAGATGTTCTTGATCTGATTTTCTTTGCAAAACTTGTGGCAGTTTAAAAGATTAATTTGCTCTGAAGCAAAGTTGCTTTCACATTTCTGATCATTTTACACATAATTAGTAGTGAAATCATTCCTGAATCTTAAGCTCTTGGTTGTTCCCTTGATCTTGTGGAAATATGTGTAAACTTCAGAATTCTTTTAAATTAGCCAAATGCTCTGTTGCCAGTGTCTGTGGATTCTTGAACAGACAGCTGCCTTTTCCAGCTCTTGAGTTAATTCTAGAAGCTGTGCTAGCAGAGCTGAGCATGTGGCTGGTTTGGATCCCTTGTGCAGTAATCATGGCACACTGCCCGGCAGTGACAATTTTTCAGAAAATTCTGACTTGTAACACTTTGCTTATCCCAAATTTCCATGATTTTAAGGATCTGTTGAACTCAGTCATCTCACCTGCAGGGTGAACTATTTTGGTGCAAGAACTGATTTTGAGAGAAAACTATTTCTGTGTTGTTCCCTGGGCTGAGGCAAGGCCTGAGGCAGGGCCTGCAGGAGCCATGCCCTGCCCAGTTCCCTAACTGTCCTTGTCCCTGCAGCTGGGAGAGCAGCTGGCACAGCTGGTTCCTGCCAGCGGAGTCGATGTGGTGGAACTGGAGGATGAAGGCACGTGCGTGCGCTTCAGCCCACTCATGACTTCTGCAGGTAATGTTCGCTCCAGGCAGCCACTTGTAAATGCTGGCCTTTGCTGTGGAATGGTACAACAGTCTCCTGGGGATGTGCTCAAGAAGCTCCTCAGGATATTCTCCTGTGGGGAGGATTTTCTTATAAACAAACCAAAACCACCTCAGCTTTATCATTTTGCTGCACCTCAGCACTGGGTGCATTAATGGAGCCCAGCTGTTGTGGGTCACATTGCCTCACTATCTCTGCAGAGAAAGCCTTCCTGGTTACTTTTTAAACTCATTAGGAAAAGCAGTTAAATTCCTTCTTTCAGCTGCTTAACACCAGGTGCCTGACCTTTCTACAGAGGTCTTTCAACACTGCAATGGTGCTTGTGTTCAAAACACAGCTACTTAGCTGGAAGAATTATTTACTAATCCTCCAAGATTTTCTATAACTACTGATGGATGGGGGATATAAAAAAATCTGTGTGTTGGAAAGCAGAAGCACAGAGCAGTGTGCAGGGCTCAGGGGGTGCACAGTATCTCCTGTTGGCTTGTGTGGGATGGGGGGCTTAGGCTGTAGAACAGCTGACACTCATGAGAGAAGGTCCTGGTGTACACAGAACAGCAGATTTTAGAGAAATTACTTGGTGATGCTGAGATGTTTTGTTTTAAACCAGCATGGAAGCTAATTCATGTCCAGCTGGGCTATGGGAAGAGGATGTTTGTGGGGTTTTTTTAATGCTAGCTACTGATGTAATGCAAAAAGGTATTGTAACATATCCTTATTAGTTTGTAACATGAGAGTCCTTTTTATTAATTTTTATGAAATCCTTATTTCCTTTCATTTTGATGTATCAGTGGATAGATAACTGAACCAAAAATCCACTTACATAGACCAAGATATTCAATACTATCTGTAAATTATATTTGTGATGAACTTGCAGAGCAGCTCCTTTACAAATTCTTAATTCAGACATCTCTGCCACATCTATCACACTTACCACACACTAATACTTCTGCTCTGCAGTTTTAGGAACTGAAATACAAGATATTGATCACTTGGTAGACTGCTTAAAAATGAAGATTCCAGTGTTGACAAGCACACTGCAGCTGAGAGAGGAGTTTGAGCAAGAAGTGAGAAGAACAGTTAGCCTGTTGTATATTGAAGATCTTGGCTGGCCAGGGTTAGGTGTTGTGAGGTAAATAATTTTCTTCATGCTGTATTTGCAAACACTGTGCTTGAGCAGACAGGACCACGTGATCTCTTCAGTGGTCATTTGGATGTTTCGTTTGCTGATTGTTATCTGGCTTTGCACCCAGTTGAAGCTTTTGAGTGCTTTTTAGGAAATTGCATTTATCAAGTAATTTTCTTTGATTAATTCTTAAAGAAAAACTGAAGAGCTGCTTTGGGCACTGGTTGTAACACTGGAAGCAGTGTGTGTGGGGGGGATATGTAATGAGCAAGTGCATTCCACTGTCTTTAGCCAAGCATAACTTGTATTTTTATCTATAATGGCACTCACTGATATGCTGAATAGACTTTAAAAAGCCCTCCAGGTGTCTGTTCTGATCATTTGATGCAGCCCTCTGGAAGGATTCTGTATAGTCAAAACAGTTCAGGTATAATCAATACAGCAACCAGAAATCTATTGTGCTGAACTTGCAGCATCAAGCTCAGCCCATCCCCCAATCCCTGATGACAAATGCCACTAAACTTGCTGGTAGGAGCTGTAATGTTCTGAGGTTTTTGTTTGTAAAATACAGGAATTAGTAGAAATGTACTAAATGTGTAGGTGCTTCTGTATGTACTGTAAAGTGAAATTACTATACCTTGGCTTGGTTTGAAGGTACAACTATCACAGTGATGAGAAGAATGACGACAAACAAGAAAAAGAACTAGAAAAAATCAATACAGAACTTCTGAAAAAGTTAAATGAGCTGGAGTCGGATCTCGCCTTTTCTTTGGGTAACTGCACTATTTAAGAACTTCTTTTCAAGCTAGTGGTCATTCTCCTAGCTGTGCTAGGGTGATTTGATAGGTCGTTATGATGAAGCTGCTGCCCATGTGATTATTGCAGAAGGAACACCTGTAACTGTTCTCTCCTCCCTCCTGTTTCAGTTCAGGAGTGCTCACCAGGTGAGCTGTTCTCAGAAATCCTTGTGAAAACTGATGTGTGGGCAACTAGAGCAAGAAGGGTTCCTTGCCAGAAAGAACAAAAGCTGCAGCATTCCTGTGTGTAGATGGAGCCTTCTCAAGTGGTGCTGGATCTAGTGGAAAGCAGATCTCATTCCAAACCCACTGGCACTGATGGCTTCACTACTCTCTGTGGCTCCATTAAAAGCTTTAGATGACTTTTGTGATAATTAGCAACACATTTACAGTGCCACACGATAGCTGAAAGTATTAATTTGCTTATTCATAATTCTGATCTTTTTCTAATCAGCTGTCAAAAATTAAGTGCCCTGCAGTTGTGGAACCAAGTAATCTGTAAATGGCTGAAAGTTAAGGAGTTTGGAGCATATTCAACACTGGTATTTATAACACAACTCCTCGACTGTATAAAATATTCACTGTTTTTCTTGCTCAGGTTGTTTTCTCTTTGAAAACCCCCAGGGCTGAACTTTCCTGGCCTGTATAATTTGTACCCACACAGATCCTGCCCTTAGGTACTGGAGGGAGGGTGTGTACTGGGATTTCCAGATTCACAAGCACAAGTGCTGCAGCCCTTGCAGGATTGCAGATTTGTTCAGCACACAGACCTGACTCTCCCTGTGCCCCCAGGTCCGGAATTCGGAGGGCAGAAGAACTGTGTTTACATTGGCATGGTCACAGAGGATCTGGATGTGTCAGAATTGGTTGAAACTATTGCAGCAACAGGCAGAGAAATTGAAGAAAATTCAAGAGTATGTATTAATAACTCACAAAATATTGTAGCACCTTTTTTCCTCCCCTTTCATATTGGCTTCAGGACGTGGTTTTGTTCATTGTGAAAGTAAAAGTTGTGCTTAACACAAGAGTTTTAGTTACTGTCCAAGGAATAATCTGTGTCTACCTAGGGAGAGTTATGGATTATGATATTGTGAGGATGTCTGAATTTGTGTTCATGGTGCTGTGTGCAGTAGTTCTAATGAAAACCTTCAGTAGTACTGAAGTAGCCTCATTTTATCATTCAGATTTTAAACTGTCAAAAAACAAAAGGGAAGGTTGATTGTGAGCTGGTGATTCTCTGCACTGCTAGATGTGGTGGGATTGAGATTCTTTATATACCAGCTTTAAGATAAGACTATACTCTAAAATGTATGAAAAACTTTAAATTGGTGTCTTAAACCCAGAAATTACAAGTTACCTATTGAAGTAATAAAGCTGATGATGCAACTTCTATTTGTCAAAGCATTTACCTGAATGGAGTTCTCCAAATGTTCTCTAAAATAGAATTCTTGAGTAACCTGCATTACATCTGTCCTTTCATTCTGCTAGTGTTGGGTATTTAATTTTCTCACCTCAAAAATAAATAGAACTTCAGAAATCCTTTGCCTATTTCTGCTCATGGGAATATGTTGATTATGGCAATGAATTTTTTCTACAAGTAACTTAATGCCCACTCTTGACTCCCTGTGCTGCTTGGAGCGTGACATGAGGAAAGTTTTGTCTGTAGAGCACCTTCAGTTTTGTAACTGTTGTAGTGGAGAGCTGAATGGGCTCCTTGGATCCTGAAGATTCCAGGGAGGAAGAGAGTGGTGGAAGAGTCAGAAGGATGCAGTCCTTGGAACCAGCTGCAGTAAATCTGTGGATCTTCACCATTTGATCCAAAGCTGGGAAGCAGAACTCATTTGTGAATGTCCCTTGCCCCGCAGATGAGGAGGATTGGTACAAGGAGGAGGGTTTTACAAGAAGCCCACATCACTCCAGCCTGCCCTGAGACACACAGCAAAGGCACTGAAAGGCAGGACCAAAGCTGAAGATGACTGGGCCAGAAACACTGAGCTGCTTCCTGGCTCTCTGAATTCCACCCCACTGCCCTCCCTCCTGTAGCCAGGGACTACCAGGGGTCTTGAGCTGCCATGGGGGTCAGTTCCTGGCTGGTCTCTCCCTCAGGGAGAAGGAGCAGCTTCCTCTTTGTCCTTTTATTAGCTGACAGAAACACAAATTTTTGGCATTTTGGAGGAAGTGCCTGTCCTTGTGCAATGTTAAAACCAACATTAATATATGGAAATTGGCATTTGTCTCACACAAACAAAGATGTAGCTTCTTGGGTTTGTCCATTCCTTGTCCCTGCAGCTGTCCCAGTAAGCTGCCTGCCCTTTGCAGTATAAAACACTGCTGCTGCTGGCCTGGGCTGCCACAGGGATCAGTGGCAGCTCTTTATGAGAGCAGGAAAACAAAATGAACCTATAGGCTGACACACAGCTTGTTATTGTGAGGCTGATTTAAGTCCTGGGTGTTTCTAGGAACCAAAATGTACTCTATAAACATAAACATTCTTCCCAGGTATTCATCTGAGGAACATTTATATGCTAAGCAGGTTTTCAAAGAATTTGGGTCATAGGCTCATTTTTAAGTTTAAAAAAAAAAAAAAATTCCTGTTTAAAATTATGTTATTTCCTCTGGGTTTATATGTTAAAAAATCCTGCAGTCAGCATGTGCATTCTTGAATTTATAGTCATAATGAAATAGAGATAGTCACATACTGTCTTAAATTGGAAAAATATCTGACTGCCCTTTCTCCATCCTGAAAACCTGAACGAAAAAGACAGTTTCAAGTCCAAATAATACATATCCTTATTTCTGGGTTTTATTAGCTGTTGGAAAACATGACTGAAGTTGTTAGAAAAGGAATACAGGAAGCACAGCTTCAGCTTCAGAAAGCAAATGAAGAACGACTGCTGGAAGAGGTGAGGCCACACACGGCAGCCCTGTGGTTCCCTGAGGTAACTCATCCCCTGGGGGCTCTTTCACCAGTGTTGGGTTGTGCTTTGCAGGGGCTGCTGCGACAGATCCCCGTGGTGGGCTCTGTGCTGAACTGGTTTTCTCCCTTCCAAGCCTCGCCCAAGGGAAGGACGTTCAATTTGACAGCAGGTAGGGCTCGGGGCACCTGCAGCTGTGTCTGCACTGGGACTGTTCAGTTCTGTGCTGAACCTGCAGCACACGTTCCTGTGCTGGTTTGATCATGAGTGGCACAATCCACCTCAGCATGTACAAGAACATGCTTGGCACTATTTCTGTAACACCCAGTAAGAATCTTCTGTTCTCTTGTACAGTTCACATTTTGTTCTTGCATGTTGAATCATGTTAAAAAAGCCATGATAGACACTGGCAGTTATTAATAGAGGAATCATTCCTGTGACCTCTGGTTGCCTATCCTGGAGGAGCTGGGGGTGTCAATACGTGAGCTGGGGGTAGCTTGGCCTTAGCACATCGCTCCTCAGGAGTGCCTCCTCTCCCGTGTTCCCCTGTGCCCATGAACAGGATGTCTGCCTGGATGTCTGTCCAGCAACTGGAGGACAGCTGGGGCCTGGCATCAACTGGGCTGTGTGGGAAACTGTAGCAAATGGAATGGTGCAGTGTGGAAGACTCTGTTGTACTCTGATGTGTAATTTGTGTCTGAGAATGTAGAAAGAGCTGCCTGTAAGTTTTTATATCAGTGAAACTGATGTACCAATGTAATACTTCCTGAAATTATTAATTTTCACTGTAGTAGTACTGTGGCAGTCACAGAAATTAATATTCCCGGGCTCAGCAGAGTATCTGGCCCACCCAGGACAGTGGCACACTGTCTGTGTCTACCCTGCAGGGAAAGCTTCCTGCTGTGCTCAGGGCCTTGTGACTCTGGATGCACCAAGTGGCAGGTTCTTGGAGCACAGAACAGCCCACTCCCCTGGGAATGCTGACCCTGCATGGCTGGATATCCCTCCCTGGCAGCTGGGACGATGTCACATGCCCAGGGCAGGAAGGAAATGGGACTACAGAGTGTAGCAGTGCTGTGAAAGGAGGGTGAGGGGAAACGATTCACTTGTGAAGTCTCAGCACTCATGCTCCTGGGTTCTCAGATTTCATCACCCCCATGTGACAGTTTGAACTCAAATGCTGCCCTTTCAGAAGTTTTAGTCAACTTACTTTTTTTAACCTCCAGGCTCTCTAGAATCCACAGAATCTATGTATGTATCGAAGGCCCAAGGAACAGGCAGCACTCCACCACCAACTCCCACTTCCAGCCTTGCAAAACAAAGACTTCCTGGTAAGTTTCTGTGTCTGAGTTTAATTTCTGAAACTTCCCTGACACAGGAAGACCCACATGATTTTCCATCTTTTGTAACATCTGGAACTAGAGCTCATCTTTTACCACCTTAAAAACCTTCATGTACCCATGGCACAGAACACTGCCCCAAGCTGTTATCTCCCCACATATTTTTCCTGGGACTACAGGAAGTTGTCTAGTTAACTGACAACTACCCAGGAAGTCTGGAATCTTCCTGTAGAATAATATGAGATTATTGAGCTTTAAAAATGAACAGATAAACAAGCCAAAAGTTTTATTGGAAATAAAAGCATAATAACATATGGTCATGTACTTCAGCAGCTGCATTTCTGTTGCTACCAAACATTTTGTGGCCTAAGCCATTCTGAGGAGAAGATCTGTTAAATCTATGGCACTCTCTGCACAGTTGTATTAGTAATTAATGCTGATTTGCCTGGCAGGAAACCCAGTTTTGACTCACCTTTTGGGCTGGTGGCTTCCAGCCTGTGACTTTCAGTGCAATTGTTTAACCTGGAATGATTTCAGTTTGTAAGCAGGCAGCTTGGCTTCAGCTCAGTTTTCTGTGTCTGCATACACAGGATACAGTAACAGGGGCTGTTATATTGCAGACCTGTCTGGGTCTATGTTCAGGGTCCAAAGTAGCAGGCAAACAAAACCTACTTCTCTGCTGTTACAAAATTCCAATACTTCCTTTAGAAAAGGAACTTGTGCACACCACTGTATGTATTTGCTGCCTTCATGGGTACTGAATGCTTCAAACACTTCACAGGTCAGAAAGCTTTCAAAAGGTCTCTGAGAAGCTCTGATGGGTTCAGTGAGACCAGTTCCATCAGCCACTGTGATGACCTGGACAAGCTGGATCAGAGAGCCCCAAATCTCTCCCCTGGCCAAGAGCAAGGACCTTTGGAGGTGGAAAGAGCAGAGGAGCAGGAGGTGGCGCAGGCAAAGACAGACACTGAGGACATTCACAGTGACCAATCGCCACCAGACTGCACCAAGGCAGAGGACCAAGCAAGTCTAAGATAAAATCCAGAGTGTGGATTTGAGACTGTGCTGAGCAGGCCCCTGCCCAGGCAGGCAGGCTGGTAACGGTGCATTGAAGATGTGAACAGTGCCACACACAGTACAGTAATAACTACTGTAACTTATTAACTGGGATTTTGCACAAATATACATTCCCTCCCCTGGGACAGAGATTTGTCTTATTGTACACTTGTTACAGTTGCTTTAATCCTCTCCATGTTGGTGTCACCAAAGCTGTAGTGAAATTTGAGTGCTCATGAACGTTTGTAAAAACACTTGGCAGTTATCCTTCCTGCAGGGGTCCACGCATGCCAGACTGCTAACTAACCACTCAGCCATGCACATGATGAAAAATACAGCTGCACCCAATAATTATAAAATTATCTTATGTTACTATACTTTATAAAAAACAACTGCCAGTTGTTCACCTTTTTAGTATTTAAAATTCAGTTTAGGCTCTCCTGCAAAACTTCTCCTGAAGTCACCCTAGTTCTGTGTTGCTTCTTTCCTGTTACCTTACCCACAGCCTGCCCCAGAGCCGTGGGTGTGGGCACTGGGCAGGGACAGGTGCCCTGTGGGTGGGAGCCACTGAGGAGCACTGGGCCATCTCCCCTTTGTTCCTGCTCTTGTACCACTTCACCCCCAGCCACGGCCCTGCGTATGCTGGGACTGAGTTAGTGGATTTTCAGCCTTCTAGGAAGCAGGAGTGCCTCTGCATGCCTGGCCAGCTTCCTACCCTGCCTGGGAAGGAGCACAAGGCACTGTTACTTTCCTTTGCACGGCATTTACACACCAAATACTGAACATGTTCATGCAGTGTAACTGAGTTCTTTCTGTTGTGTATTTTTAAAGATAGCTGTAGTAAAGCTTGAAAAACCAATACATTTGTGATGGTTTCGACACTTATTTTTTGAATAACAGTAACTTACCTATGGTAGGAATTGTACAGAGTCAAAAGAAATTATTTAGGTTATTTACATACAGCACAACTTCAGAGTGTTTGGGACTACTTAATGCACAAGCAAAGCTTTGAATAAATCAAAATCCAAAGTGTAAGTGTCTTACAAAGCAAATCATCTTAATCACTTCACTGCAAGTTTTCAGAGCCTCTTGTGGAAAAGCCATCTTTGGCAACACTTGCTTTCCCCAAGTAACCCGATGGTGATACAAACCCTCCCCTCCCTCTAGAACTGGATACAAGTACTGCAGTTTGCTCCATTTGGGTTTTTTCCTCCCTCCCTTTTTCCCCCCACAGGTTTCCCTTAATACCATAATGACAGTAGTGGTAGCGGGACTTACTTTGATAATCTGCAAAATTTGAGGGTTTTGAATTGTACTGGCACCTGATTTGACTCTCAGCTTCTGAAGCCTGCAGTGCTGGGATGCCATGAACAAGGTTAATTTTGCTTGGGTAATTTTGGGGTAATTTATGTAAATCAGTGCAATTTTTTCTAAAGTGCAAAAGCAATTAAATTGACTAGTCTTCCTCCTTGGTTTCTTTAGTGCAATGAAGTATATTAATAACAGTAATTTGTTGGGGATAAAAGCTATCCCCACAAAGATTAATTTTTAATGTTTTTATATTTGGAAATGTTAAATCAGTAGTTTTGTTGGAATGAGCTTCATTCTTTAAATACTTACCTGAATGTTTCAATAAAGATACTTCAAATTATTACTGTGGCATTAAGTTATTGTTGAAGGACGCTTCGCTACATTCCAGCAAACTCTTTCTTTCCTTGTGTGTGCCAAATCATTTAATGAAGTGCATGCCAGTGCAGTGACTCACCTTATCAGTCTCTAGCATTGCCACCTCTACCTGCCCATCAAATTACTGCACTGGAGCAACAGAACCTAAACCCAAATTCTTACTTCAAAGAAACCCTGATTTCTACATTAGTAATGCAGAAAAAGCAAGTTACTTCTATCAAAATATTTTATTTTGAAAAGCACAGGAACAATGGTATTTGTGACCAGCAATATGCTCTTTGCAACAAATTGCTCTTCCTGCAAGATTGTATTTCCTTAAAGCAGTTGTGGGGGTGGGTTCCAGGTTAGATTTTGTCAGAGCAAACCTGTTCCCACAACCCTTCTTCATTTTTTTTGTAGATTCGAGGCTTCCTGTCAGGAAACAGGGACCGAGATGGAAATGGATGTTCTTTTAGAAATGTCAGTGTAGATCTAATGTGGGAAACAAAGTGGGGGGGCTCAGCCAGGGGTGACGTGGAAAGGTTCTGAAAAAGAAGATGAGAGCAAGAGCTGCTTGACATTCAGGATACAATGTTCTCATTATCCTGTCCCTCTAGGATATTCCCCACCCTCCCAGGGACATCAGTGCACAGGGAAAAGTTTTGACATACTGTAGCACCCCTCTCTCTACTCAGCTAGAAGGTAAAAAAACCCAAACCAGTTAGCTTCAGGTACCTGTAAAATCTGTGCATCGTCTTGTTCCAGCCAGAAATCCACATGTGGGAAAGGCCCCCAGAAATAAGGCCCAATCCGGAGCTGTTCTGTCTTCGCATCGTAGATGTTGGTCAGCTGTAAGAACACAGGGAGGCTGCACAGGCAGCCAGGGCTGCCCCAGACGAGGAGAGCTGCCCTCAGTGTGGCCTGGCCAGACCAGCCCTGCTTCCCACCAGCTGCACTGACACCCCCAGCTACTCCCCCAAACACAGCGTGAAATGGTGACACAAACTCAGAGAGCTACCAAAGGAAGCTTTCCTCAAACTTTGGATGTTTCATTGCCCCTAACTGGCCTCCCCTTGCCATTTTCTCCATCCCTTTTACTCACTGGTGCTCCTGTTAAAATGTGGGCTGAACGCAGATCCTCATCCGGCCCTTTTACTGGGAAGGTTGCAGGGAAAATCTCTGCTGTTTTAACATTCACAGCTGGTAGAAACAGAGATTAAATACAGTAAAAATTAATTGTTGCGAGGCACTTCTTTACAATGACCATGTACCTAACAAAACTGTGTTGCAGAACTGCTGAACCCATCACACATTTTTATTTCTCAGACCCCAAGCTTGTGACAGTACATTTCTACTTCATTTCCTTTGGTGGCATTTCAGTATTCCAGAGATGAGTGAACTAATTAGAAAAAACACTGAGTAATCAAAGAGAAGATTAAATTCTAAGCATAAATTTAGTGCAGTAGCTCAATGCTGATAAACTCTTAAGTGCAGTTAAAGGAAAAAAATCTATTTGAATTTGTACACGGCCTCTTCATGTGTGCCTCTCCCCAGCTGTGGCACCACAAGAAAAGCATTTCTGCCTATGCCTCTGACAGCAGTGTGCAGCTTTTAGGGTGGATTTTTCTCATTCATTAAAAGCAGTCCATTTACAATTGGAATCTGAAAAGCAATCCAGTGACCAAAAGAAAATTCAGTTCTAATTTAACTTAACTCACCTATTCCATAAATTATTGGAAAATGAATATCCTGTTCTTCTCTGTCATTCAGTTCTGTAATGAAGAAAAAGAAGCCAAACTTGTAGGGTTTTGGATTTTAGTCTGAGCAGCATTTATTTAATTATATGTAATTGAAGAGCAAGAGATCTGATGTTGCATAAGACAGAAAAAACCAAGGAAGCCTAAATGAAATATGGAAAAGGCAGAGGTCAGTAACAAGACACGTGGGACTTGGAGCTGTCTCCTACCAGAACAGCAGCTCCAGCCAGCTGCCCCTGCTTCTGCAAGGACAATTTACTTCAGCCCGGCAGAACAAAGGTCCATGAGTGCCCTTCTCAGCTGTAAGATATGCACAGCTACAGAGACTGTTCCTTGCGATAAATGTGCCAAAATAACCTGGCCATGACTATGAGTCAGTTGCAGTGCAGCAGCACTTGGTAAGGAGCAAATGTCCCCTGCATTGGCTCTCTGACATCAGCACACACACACCAGCAGTAAAACTGAAAATCATGCAGCAGTACGGAGGACTTGTGCTGTCCTTTCTTGCAAGACAGAGAAAAAGCCATGTCTGAGAAGTTCCCTGCCCTTTTATTTCAGGAAAGGTACTTCCAAACCCAAGGGAACATTTTCTTACCTGTTACACAAAAAGTTACTAAATGAACATCCTCTGGCTGGAGGTCGAACGCTCCTGTGATGAAGGACAGCAAAAATGTCAGTGAGTGGGGGCAGGGCACTGCCCTGGGGGTGAGGGGCACACCCCAAACCCCTGCTCCAGGTAGGGCAACACTGCAAACAGGCTTCAGCACATTTGCTTCAGACTAACAGGAATTTACAGAGACGGGCCATTTGTAACAGCAAAAATCTGCTAAGAAAGTGCTCTGCCACTTACTCCTACTGACACTGGTTTAGCCCTGGCATCACATCAGCTCTGCTCTGATCTGCTATACATTTAGCAGGTTATATTTAAATGTTTTTTCCTAAAATGTTACATAGATAGTGAACAAACCCAGTCTTTCATCAACTGTAAATTAGTTCTGCATTTCATCATCTCAAACACCAGAAAAAAAACCCCTCTCTTAAGTTCTGATAGCAATACAGCATTACTGATTCAAATTGTACCTTGATGCATGAAAATCAGAAGGTTAAAGTAAGTTAACCAAAATACTCTGTTCTGCACAGAACTCACATTACACAAAACACCCTCCGGTGTCATAGCCACAAGGCTGCATCCCAGGGTCTTTGGTTTCCTTTTTTGTTTACCCCCTCAAACACCTCCCTCCAATCCTGACACCTGCCCCATCCCTGCCCCCTCCCATTCCAGTGGGGCAGAGGCCTCTCCAGAAGTGGGAAAGTGCTTAGCACAACCCAGAGCACTCCCAGGTAAGCAGGTACTTTACACTTCCAATTGTTAGTGAAGAAGCACTGCCATCACTCCTCTCACTATGGATTTTATAAACAAACCTGACATTTTTTTATTAGACAATTCCAAACAATAATTAAATTTTACCTCATCACATTAAGGTATGAACTGAATGGTAACTGATGAATCATCCACATGTACAGACTGGGAGAGTGACAACACTTGCCCATGATCCCAAGAAGATGAGCAGGAATCAAAGCCCAGCTGAAGTGCTCCCAACTCAGCCAAGTGTGAGAAGTGACAGGGTCGGACCCTGTGGCCCAGGCACTGACCATGGGCAAGCCCCAGCAGTCCAGCCCCTCTCCACACCAAGTTCTCAGGCAAAGACCCTTCATGTGAATCCACACTTCTTTCCAGTAAATGACTGGGGACTCAGACTGCAAACAAACCACCCAAATCCAGCCAGAACCTTTTTTTTTTGGGACATGAGAGTGGAAAAAACGTGAACTTACTAAGAAGCTGATTAGTAAGTTTTTGTGATAACTGCCTATCATCATTGAAACCTCCAACTAGGTGCACTTCCAGCCTAACAGAGATGGAATAACAGGAAACAGCAATTAAAAAGACATCTCAAAATGAATAGCTTTACAAAATAATCCCCAGCCCAAACTGCAAAGTAATCATTAGAGAAGCCTCACTTATTACAATCACATGCACCAAGCTGGTTTACATTACAGAGCAAGTTATGATAATTCCATTCTGAAAACTTCAGGGATCACCCAGGAAGTGGCACAGGAACAAGCTTGAAGAGGCATTTAATACATGCAATTTTATCCCAGGGGTATCTCTGGCACCTCTGGTTTGGACTGAACTTTGTAACCATCTTTCAGTTAATTAACCTTGAAGATTTTTGTTCCCATGACCTCCTCACAACTACTCTGGACCATGCAGCAGGGTTCTTCTCTAAGCAGTGTCTATGTAAAGTCCTTACAAATCATGAATCTTAAGTTTGTGAACTTAAGATTTTGCTAGCTTTTGCTCTTACCAAACTACATGGGTAAAACCCTCTACATCCAAAAGAAGCTTGTCTACTAAATTCTGTTTCAGAGCTTTTTA